ATTTCTTTTGAAGTTGTATGGACAATTCATTTCAAACAAAATGTACCAAGACTCAAAAAAATTCAGTTCATGCTTAAGTCCTCAAACTGCACTTCTAGCAGTTGCAACAGCAATGCAACCTTGAATGTGGCTTCCTGCACTTAGGAGAGTGAAGGGCACACAAGGGAGAACGGTGGACCAGGTGCAGAAAGAAGGGTTGAACTGTATGAGAGAATATGAAATACTGGGACTCCATTTTGCATTGACTCAGCTGCTTGGTTTCTTTGATCGCACATCCCACCCAAATATCCATGTCCATCCTTTAATGTCGCTGGCTGTGTGCGTATGTGATGGAAGCGTGCTGCTGCTTTTCTTGACTTGAGCTGGCTGTGTAGGGGATGTGTCTCGGAGCTGAACCCCCTGGGGCAGGAGATTTGCGTTCCTGAGCCCAGAAAGAGCCTGGCGCATCAGGCAAGGAGAATGCGCCCTTCTAATGGGCAGCTTTTGATTCTGAAGAACAGCTGCCCAGACTCTCTCCTTGCATCTCCTGGGAGAACAGGAGGTCCAAAGCTCTGAATAAGAAAGCAGTTTTGGTGTGGTGAGGCTCAGTTTTATCCAAAGGCTGAATCAGAGGTTGATCAGGAGAGAGAACCTGGCCTGGAAGCAAACTGATGGCGGAGCTTGGTGAAGGTTGACCAGTTGCAGCAGCTTTCTCCAGATCACCACCCTGCCGTTCTCATCAATCCCACTTCCCTATAGAGGAAACAAGGGTTCTGCCAGTGCAATCAATCAATGAGATGAAACCCTGGTGGTGGTGGTGGTGGTGGTGGTGGTGGTGGTGGTGGTGGTGGTGTGTGTGTGTGTGTGTAGGAATGAGATGCAGCCCTCCTCACAAACTGCTATGAATCTAATGGCTTTTCTACAGTGACCTCATTTGAGTTGAGCCAAGAAAGAATGGAAATGCCTTGTGTAATCTGTGGACTGTGTGTGAGTGTGTGTGTGTGAGTGTGTATGCGTGTGCATGGGTGTATGTGTGAAAATCAAGGTGGCAGCTCAATGGTGCAATTGAACCTTCATCCTTTGATCCATGCATTGCTGTACAAAGCAATATAAATCGCAATTTTGGATAATTGTTGTCATCACAGCTGCATGGATGCATTGATGGAGTCAGCAATTTGAGACAGGTGTACCTTTACATTTTAAATCATTTTAGGGGTGGGTTTTTTTGTGACAAGAAGCCATTTAAAAATACTTTTATTAGATTATGATGATAACTATGGCAAATAAAAACGATCAGATGCTTTTCCGATGCAACATTTCCAATGCAACAACTGTGTTTCCAACCCCATTCCTGTCTGCCACAAAAGCTTTCTATGATATTCAAGATGCGTGACAGCATTTAGGACTGAGATGGAGGGATTTCAAGACAGCAAAACGGGCCCTGCGTTCAGGAGGGTAAACGTATTTGTGTGGAAGTATGAGTTGATGAGACACTGCAGCCATTTCTTCCTTTTCCAAGAAAACTCTGAATTTGAATATCACCGCTGTCTTTATTCTAAGGATAAAGGTATGTCATCTTGTAAGAGAAATATGAGAAAAACCTATACAGGTCATCCTCCCTTACAACCACAGTTGTGATGGGAACTTCCCTTGCTTAAGCAATGTGTTCAATAAGTGAGTCATCACACAATTGCATCCCATTTTACAATCTTTTGTATTACAATTGTTAAATGAACTGTGTGTTTCCCCATTGGTTTCATTTCTTTTCTCCTCCTCCTTCTTCTTTTAAAGATGATTAATACATAAATAAATACTACTTGATTTCAAATTTCCTCCCTTCTCCCTGATAATTACAATCAACATGTTTACAAACATTCAAAATTATTTCTGATTACAGTCCTTGTGTTAATTGTTTTCCCCCTTAAAAACCATGCTCTCTAGGTTCATTTATTTTGTATGACGTGTGATACATAGAAAGCTTTTACAGCTTAAACTTGGTCAAGATTCTCTTCTGAGTGTGGATTTTTAATTTTGCCTCTGTTGCGTATTCCCAATTGGCTTCCCAGGCTGGTATCTTTAACAAAATATTTCTTTTAATGTTTGTCTTTGTGGCTATCTGTTTATATCTCAGTATATAGTGATGTTCTTTTTATTCATGTCTTCTGGAAGAAATCCTAAATATATATATATATATATATATATATATATATATATATATATATATTCCATAAAATGGAAGATTCAATTCAAACTTTATCTTTAAGACTTAGATTTTTAATTATGTATTTCTTTAATTGTGTATTTTTGTCTTCTTTTTACATGACCACATATAATGAAATGTTCTTTCCATAACACAACATTTGTAACATCTTTTATACGGTTTATTTATTTTTTGTCATTACTGAAAGGGTTATATACTATCTGTAAATATTACATTTTGTCTTAAAATGTAGCTTGGGGTAAATTTTATTGATTTTTTTCCCCTCCGTAATTCTTCCCACTGTTGTATTGCAATTATTTTTTTTAGATTTTGCAGCCACTTATGATTTTTTTTACTCTCTATCTCTGTCAAGTTTTAATAGCAATTTATATATACATCCTAGTAGATGGCTGAGATTTTGTATGGGTTTCATTGTCTGAATTTCCCTTAAAGCTCTCTTTCTTTCTTCACTTTTTTTCCTCCATCAATTTGTGAAGACGTCAACAATACTAATTTTAAGATTCACCAGGTAATTGTCGCTGTGTCTTTAATTGACTTCTGGAATTTGAATGGACCATATCTGCATATACAATTGTCCTTTTCTTTGGCCATTTTGGGGGGTCCTATGCATGCGATTGTGTGGAACGTCAAAGGGAGGTTAAAAAAAAAAATCAAGATGGCAGCTTCAACTCTGCAATCAAAGACCAACCCTTTTCTTACAGGTTGTGAAGCCCTTAAAAAGGGGCGGAGCTTCAACAGCATAGCTGCAGCTTCCATCTTGACTTTTTTGGCCCTCTGTCCAAAAATATGCTCCAAGATGGGTGGACTTCAACTCCCAGAATTCTGAGAATTGAAGTCCATCCATCTTAAAGTTGCCAAGTTTGAGAAATGCTGACTTAGAAAAACAACAGCATGCAAAACAGGAGTATTACCACAACACATGTAGAGCTAAATATAAATCAGCCCCATTTAACCTCACACAACAGGAGTCGTCATTCTTTTCCTTCTCCTAATCCGCCAGTTCCAAAAACATCCCTGATTTTTCAAGAGCTGTTGGGCCTTCTATTATTTTCTGTCTCCAGCTTTAGTGTGAGCAACAGGTGGTGGAAACACGTGCCGAGGATTAAGTTGGTCATGAAAAACTGGCGTTTTTTAAAATGGCTGCTGTAATGCTTTTCCTTCTACGACCGTTCCTCGTAGATGCCAAAGCGCAACTCTATAGGATGGTGAGGGATTGGGAAGAGAAGAGCCACAGGGATTTGAAGATGAAGTCTTCTGCAGAACAATTGGAAGGAACTGGGTATGCTTGAGGTAGAGAGAAGATGGTGGGGACACACAATCTTCATTTTCCAGAGCATGAAGGAATGTCCTAAGAGTAAGGATTTATTCTCCCAAGCACCCAAGGGTAGAACGAGAACCAGTGGATGGAAGCTTTACACAAATAGATCCAATCTCAAAATAAGCAGGGATTTCTTGACCATGAGTGTTGTGAAGCCTCTCAACAGCCTGCTTCCTGGAGTCATGGAAGGTCCATCACTGGAGATTTTCAAACAAAAGTTGGACAACCACTTTGGAGGTCTGGGATGGTCTAATAAGGATTCATGGGCAGAAACTCAATTAGAGAGTTCCCAGGTCCCTTTCAGTTCTATAGTTATCACTAGAGGTAGTCCTCAACAGTCCTTTAATAAGGACTCCATTTGAAGTTACAACCTGGGTCATCAGAACAAAGTTAGATCGCTTGCCAACCAGCTAATATTTACGACCATTGCAGTGTTCCAAGACACACAATTATCATTTGTGATCTGCCCAGCTGGCTTCTGACATGCAAAAGTCAATGGGGGAAGCCATCAGGGAATGTCATAAGGTGCAGTCTTGTGATGTCTCGCTTAATGACCTAACTGCTTAATGACAACTTTTCTGGTCTCAAGTGTGGTCCTACGTTATGGACTACCTCTGGCAGCAATTCGGCTTAGATTTCAGAGCGTCGCATCCTGGGCTTGAAGAGGTCCAGTAAGTTTGATGCTTTGGTCTTTGGAGAAAGCACCTTTTTGACCTGAGCACACTCACAAGATCAAACCACCAGGCCTTCACGAAGAATTGTGCCTGCCTCTGCCTCCTTGAAGGCATACTGCACTAGCAATAGACAGCATCAGCAGAAATCCTTGGCAGTCCCAATTGTAGCCCTTTTTCACATGACCCTGAGTCCTTGGCTCTCTCGGCCTTGTTCTGGGAACTTGGTGGCTTCCTACTACGGACATGTTCCTTCTCCTAAGCCACAGCCCAAGGCAAGGAACCGCATAGCAGTTTCCCCCATTTTTTGGAGAGGCATTTTATGCCCAGCTTTGATGTTCCTTGGTCAGTTCCCTTGTCCTGCAAGGGTTAACCTAAAGAGTGCCTTATCTTGGGTGTGTGGGGTGGTGGCTGTGATATTTTGGCTCCTTGTCAAGGCCCTTAAAATACACAGCCACCTGTGTTGCCTTGGGTCAAATAGAAATAGAATCATAGGGTTGGGAGCTCCTGCTACTACACTCTCCCTTGGGTTATTTTAAAGCAGCGTTTCCTAACCTTGGCAATTTTATGATGTGTGGATTTCAGCTCCCAGAATTCCCCAGACTGCATGTTGGGAAGTTCTAAAGCAGTGGTTCTCAACCTTTTTAATGCCGCGACCCCCAACCAGTCGTAAGTCAAGGACTACCCAACCGGTCGTAAGTCGAGGACTACCCAACCGGTCGTAAGTCGAAGACTTTCCCTGCTGAGAGCGCTGCGCATGTGTGGTGCCGCCCCCTGCGCCGGCCGAGGCGTAGCTGGCAAGCGGCAGAGACGGCGCAGGCCGACCACCGGCTGGGCCACCAGCTGGCCCAGCCCAAGGGAGGTAAGGCACCCGCCAGGCCCCACGCGTGCCACCAACCCTCCCTGCACCCGCCGGCCTCCCACCTCCCACCCCTGGCCCTCTTTTACTTACATTTTTAGTAGTTGCTCAGCAGAGAGGGGTGGAAACTTCCAGACAGCTCGCCTTCGCTGCACACAACTTGCGGCACCGTTTGCAGACTGGGACTTTTGGGGGCTCAGCAGGGCAGAGACAGCCTGGACAATTCCTGTTGGCTTTTGAAAGCCAATAGAATTAGACTCTATTCAAGACAGTCTATTCTATTGGCTTTCAAAAGCCAATAGAATAAAAGGGAGTAGCACAGCCAAGGAAAAGGGGGGGAAAATGGCGGACTGCGTTGTTTGGCGACCCCCGTGAAATGGTCGTTCAACCCCAAATGGGGTCCCGGCCCACAGGTTCAGAACCGCTGTTCTAAAGGGTTTTCTTTGGCTTTCAAAAAGATGTGTTTTGTCACAGTTAGATATCTCACACTTTGGGCGTTTATGTTTTGCATCTGGCTGACTTTAATTCGGGATTCTTCCGATCTGTCGGGGGTTTCTTGGGTTGGACATTTGAAGCACCGTGCATTCGTGAAAGGCGTCTAAGGAAGGAATGAAAAGAAGACCTTCAGTAGGGGAGCAGCAAGCAGACCTGCAGCTACTGAGGCATCCTAGAAGAAAAGCCAACCTTACTCAAACCACCCGTGCCGTGAAATGTACTGAAATGTACGTTGGTGCAAGAGGGAGGGAGGGAGAGAGAGAGGGAGCGAGGAGAGCTTGCACAGGAGGCTATTGGCCGGTGTAGCCCCTTGGGCGCTGTGGCGGCTTGAGAACTACGCATCCCCGTAGCTCGGTCACTTGATGAGTCCCTGCTCAGAATATCAACTAGGCTGGGGGTGGGGGACCTCCTCCAGCAGCTTGTTAGCAGAGTTGCCTGGACCAATGGCTCCCCGCCTTTCGGCATTCTTCTTTCTGCCTGACTGCACCGGAGGATGTGCACAGCCTGATCAATCAGATGGAGTCTCCTCGGGAAAGACGCCGAGAGAGGCCTCCAGTCGGTGGCCACTCGGGACCTCCCAAGGCTCTGGATGGTATCACACCCCTCCAGGTTGTGACCGCCGATCACCAGTGCAAAGAAGACGTAACTGCCAGTTGTCATCAATGGCTGCTTGGGAACGCTGGGTGGCTTTCCCTGCCCCCCCTCCCCCAGCCATGGGCCCCAAGAGAAGGAGCAGTGTGTCTGTCTTTCCATTTCTGAAAGGAGACCAAAAGGAGACTGACTGAACCTTTGCTAGCTGAAAGTGGTGGAAATCATAGTCATCTCCGGGCAAGGAAGTTAGACGTCCTGGATTCTATCTACAAATAGTCCTTGTTTAGCAACTGCATCATTTAGCGACTGCTCACACCTACGATGTGATGAAACAATGACTTTGTGATCAGTTTTCGCATTTACAACCCCCATAGGTCTGACCAGCAAAGAAAATCTAAACTAAGATTGTAAAATTGTGTTTTACTTAGTGATGAATTTGCTTAATGATTGAGTTGATGGTCCCAATGAGGACTATCTGGATCTAAATGAGGACTACCTGGATCTAATTCTGTTCCACATTAAAACAATAAAATCAGGGTGTTGACAGGAGAGCATCAAGGGGTAAGTCTTGGGTTATATGATACCAGATGGTTATTAGGCTAGTTTTTGATTCCGTAGAGCAGTGTTTCCCAAACTTGACAATTTTAAGGCATGAGGACTTCAACTCCCAGAATTCCACAGCCAGCAACGCTGGCTGTGGAATTCTGGGAGTTGAAGTCCACATGCCTTAAAATTGTCAAGTATGGGAAACACTGCCGTAGAGTTCTTGGTACTATCTGGGCTTGGATGTTTTTTTTTTGCAGATGTTTCATTACCCAAATAGGTAATGAAACATCTGCAATAGGTAATGCTAGAAGGGAGCATGGTTTGCTCTCTGTTTATATACAAGTGACTTGCCCTTGATCTTAGCATTAATTCTTGCTTATTTAGATGCTGATTGCTAGCAAGGAAGCATTCTGATCTTCTTGGTCTCTTTTCAGGTTTTTCTTTGTCTCTTTGGAATGGTGCATAAAATGTGGTTTATCTCCAGATGCAGAATATGTATGCTATGTGCTGTGTGCCAACCAGCTTCACACCCAGCTTAATTTCTATTCTACGGTCTGGTCAGGATCCCCCAAGGTTGAACACTGATTGATTACAGGTAATCCCTGACTTATGGGCTACAATTGGGGCTAGAATTTTCATTGCTAAGCAAGATGGTTGCTAAGTAAGTTACGCTTACATTTCACATCCTTTTTGCTGTGGTTGCTAAACGAATCACTGCAAAGTGAATCGCATGGTCATTAAGAGAACTCAGCTCCCCCCTTTGACTTTCTTTGCCGTAAGTCATCTGGGAAGTTTGCAAATGGGCATCTCACGACTCCAAAATGCTGCAACCACTGTACATACATGTCAGTGGCCAAGTGCTAAATGCTGATCACATCCCTGTTCTGCAATGGTAGTTAAGTGCAAGGACCAGTTGGAACTCGCTTTTTCTAGTGCTTGTGTAACTTTGAATGGTTGCTAAATGGAATGGTTGTAAGTCAAGGATACCTGTACAATAATTAAGACTCAGATGAAGGTGGACTGGCCACTGCGTCTTTGCGATAACCACCCCTTTTAATATTGATGGGGTTGGTTTCTTTCTTCCTCTAGATGGATGCTACAATGATAGTCAAGCGCGAGGATTGATCATCATCATCATTTTTTTCTCAATGCTGTTGTAAACTTCGAACAGTCACTAAATGAATGGCTGTAAGGCAAGGACTACCTAAGTTCAGAAGTGGTTGTGATGACATGCAGCTTCCTCACAGCTGGGTCAGAAGAGAAGTACAGAACAGTCCAGAGCAGCAAGGCTCAAAGGCCAGGCTCTATGTTGTCACAGGATCTGTTTCAGACCCTCATTGCTAATGGGTCAACAGCGGGAGGAGTCATATTGACTTAAGTGTCTGCCTTTGTGTGCTAACACCCAGAGTTATGCCCAGGACTGTGTACTTTGGAAATTAGCACCATGGTGTGAATTGCATTGCAAGACTTCCCATGCAAGTGTGCAGAGAAGAGCAACAAAAATGGGAAGGGGCTAAATCATAGGATGAGCAGTTGAGGGAGCTAGGTATCTCTAGCCTATCAAAGAGAAAGATTAGGAGGGACATGATAACAGTCTTCCAATATCTGAGGGGCTGTCACAAAGAAGAAGGGGGCTGACTTATTCTCCAAAGCACCAGAGGGCAGGACAAGAAATTACAGTTGAAAGATTATCAAAGAGAAATCCAACCTAGAACTCAGAAGAAATTCCTGACAGCAAGAACAGTTAATCAGTGGCTTATCTCTGGAAGTTGTGGATGCTGTGTCACTGGAGGCTTTCAAAAATAGATTAGACAACCATTTGATTGGGATGGTATAAGGTCTCTTGCCTTATTCAGCAGAGGTTGGATTAGAAGACTTTGGAGTTCTCTTTTAGCACTATGATCCTGTTTTCAGTCCCAAACCAGAAACACTTTTGTCACGCGGCTTCCAGCAAGACTGAAGCTGAGGAGAACCTCAACTCTTCTGGAGGTGGAGGATCATTCCCATCTGGCACGGTTTCCTCAAGACCCCTGAGTAGGGCATGGGTTTTGTGAGGGGCTGCCCTTTCTCTTTCCCTTCAAATATTGCCTGGCTCAAGAAAAGCAAGCAGGCCCTTCTTCCATCCCAGGTGGGAAGCAGGATCATGGGCAACGTGGCAGAGGCCTGTTCCTCCCACTTGGAATGTGCACCATCTTGGCTGCATGAAGTCGGGGGGGGGGGGGGCTTCTTGGAGCGCTTCAGAATTGGTTGCAAAACTGAAACATTGAAGGAACAGATGACTTGAGTTGGCATCCCAAAAGATATTGAAGAAAATGCAATTGAAATCTGGATTCCTCCCAGGAATGATTCATTACATTGACTTTAAAAAAATCTGCATTGCAAAGATGCGGTAGATAATCCATGGCTTACCACCTTTTCAGTCAGAAAGACAGAAGCAGAATTATGAATTTCTGCCCTGAACAGGCAGCTGGGTCATGTCTGGCTATCCTGATCGGGTATTTTAAAAAAAATGGGTGGCCTAATTAGGCACAATTAAGCCAATTGTGCATCTGATGCACAACAGTAATTATGCCGTCTAGAAATGTTCTCCCTCAGAAAAGGGAACAATGTGTAATCAAGACACAGCATGAGCACCATCCATTGCACTGAGATTTGAGGCAGCGGGGGGGGGGCTGTGGATGGCATATGGACCCAGTCTGGATCCCACCCAGATGTACTTAGTCGGAAAAAAAGGGGAGGGAGGGAGGGGAGAAGAAAGGGAGGGAGGGAGGGAAAGAAGAAGAGTGGAGAAAGGAAAACGTTTTAAGTTGCAGCGTTTAGGAAAGTGGCAATAGCATTGAAAATAAATTTTCCAGCTTCTTCTCTGTGTGAATTCTTGGGGAGAACCCTGCTCAGGCAGAGTCAAGAGAAGGGGGTCCTGAACAAGGTGGCTTGCTTTCCAGCACCCTGGCCAGCCCCTCTGCCCCAAAGCACGTGAAGACAGCCCCTCTCCTCTTAGACCAAGGGGGGCAGAGTTCCCCAAGGAAGCCGCCAGTGGCTGTGCCTGCTTTGCAAAGGATTTGCACTGCAGGGCAGGCTGAAGAGCCGTGACGTGGCCGTGGCCCAGGCTGAGACCCAGAGGTGGGGAGGAGCTGCTCCTGGCCAGCGTTCAAGCAGCAGCAGTGGAATGAGAGGAAAAAGGAGACTTTCCCAGCCGGGGAGGGAATGGGGCTGAGGAAAGGAAGAGGACAAGGGGACCTTGCTTGCTTTTTTGAAGTATTGTATTTTGTATGGTTTTTGTTTTAAGATACACCACCCAGAGAGTGAGAAGGGAGGTTAACTAAATTCAACCAATAAATAAATAAAAATAAAATCTGCTGCTTGCCCCAGCGTATGGGAGCCCCTAGCTCTGTGGTGGCGAACCTTTTAGAGACCAAGTGCCCAACTGCAACCCAAAACCCACTTATGTATTGTCGGGTGCCGGCTGGGTGTGGCCCATTGGGTGCGTGTGGCCCACTGGGTAGGTGTGGCTGCGGTGGTAATGGCAGACTGGGTGGGACTAAAAAGTTCAATCAATTCCAACTTTGCGAGATCTTTTTTTCCCCCCGCGAAAAGTTGAAGTTGATTGATTGATTGAACCTTTTTTTTTTTTTTGCACATGGCGGTGGAGGCCTAAAGCGGAAAAGTTTTATAATACCCAGCTGAAGGCCTAGGACTGGGGCGACGGTGCGCGTGCCCACAGAGACGACTCTGTGTGCCACCTGTGCTACGCGTCCCATAGGTTCGCCACCAAGGAGCTAGGGCCGATGCTTCAAACCTCTGAAGAGATGGTGCTCTTGTGGATTTTGATTTCCAGGACGCATCTGAAAGAAACGGAAAGGTGCGAAGTCGCATTTGAGCCCCATCAAGGTGGGAGGCCCAGCCAGATTCCCATGGGGTGTGTGCTCAGGTCATCTCCTGGGGTGAGTGCCAGGCAATTAGTTGTGGTTTGTGTTTTGTAAGAGTTGCAGGAAAGGGGTGCGAGACCGTCTGGAAGCCAAGAGAAGCACAACGGAGGAGCCAGGAGACACAGAGGTAGCAAGACCTCTGGGATAGACTACCCTCCCCGTTTGGCACTTTTGCTTCCCCCTCTCCTGGTCCCGAACAGGAATCAACCACGTGCACGATTTTATGTGTCATAAAGAATGCTGCAAAAACAAAGGTGAGTCTATGTTCTTGGCTCAGAATTCGTTCATTTAATACCAAGGGCCTCTCAAGTTCAGCTTGGCTACCCATAGCTTCATCAGCTCATCCGTGCAGATATCTTTGCAAATGTCCAGAAGGAGCATTTGCATCCATTTGGGATGGATTCCATTCCTTCACCCTTCGCTCCAGATTCTCTAAAAGCCTCATAAAATTTCCTTTGAGCTGAGCTCAGTTTCAGGGACTTCACGATCACCTGTCATTTTATTGACAGATTTGCTGTTGACTTTGGGAGCATTGGAATCTATGATATATTACTTGTTGGTGTAACTTATGATTAAGGATTGTAACTATGATCCATAATGTACGACCTACCACTTGGCTGTTGTAGGTATATTGAGAGCTTCTGCGCCGGAGACAAATTCCTTGTGTGTCCAATCACACTTGGCCAATAAAGAATTCTATTCTTTTCTAATTTTTTTTTTTTAATTTCCCAGCCTAACGTATAACCCTGGTAGTGCCTCACCCTGCTATTAAGCGAGCTGAACAGGGCAATAGTTGTGTCTGAACAGGCGAAGAGGGCAACAGCTGCAGAGTGTGAATTAAGCTCTGCCCCACCATCTAAAGACAAAGAACAGCTGAGTTTCTTCCTGGAGAGGACCTCAAAGGCCCCAAAGTGGCTGAGGAGGGGGACAGCCTGTATCCCCCCCCCCTCTGTTCCCTTCCATTGCATAATGAGATTTCTAAGAGTTCCCTCACTACCCCCTTCCACCTCCAAGTTAATGAGGGACTGAAAGGTAAGGTGAAATGATTGAAGTCTGAAATTATTTGTTAGATTTTTAAAATCTCATCTTTATTACTTTATAAATAACTCAAGGCAGTGAACATGCCTACTCCTCCTATTTTCCTCACAACAATCCTGTGAGGTGGGTTGGGCTAAGAGAGAGAAACTGGCTCGGTCACCCAACTGGCTTTCGTGCCTAAGGTGAAACTAGAACTCACGGCCTCCTGCCTATTGGCTCAGTCACCCAGTCAGCTTTCATGCTTAAGGGGGGACTAGAACTCACCGCCTCCTGGCGATTGGCTCAGTCACCCAGTCAGCTTTCATGCTTAAGGGGGGACTAGAACTCACGGCCTCCTGCCGATTGGCTCAAAGTCACCCAGTCAGCTTTCATGCTTAAGGAGGGACTAGAACTCACCGCCTCCTGGTGATTGGCTCAAAGTCATCCAGTCAGCTTTCATGCTTAAGGGGGGACTAGAACTCACCGCCTCCTGGTGATTGGCTCAAAGTCATCCAGTCAGCTTTCATGCTTAAGGGGGGACTAGAACTCACCGCCTCCTGGTGATTGGCTCAAAGTCACCCAGTCAGCTTTCATGCTTAAGGGGGGACTAGAACTCACGGCCTCCTGCCGATTGGCTCAAAGTCACCCAGTCAGCTTTCATGCTTAAGGAGAGACTAGAACTCACCGCCTCCTGGCGATTGGCTCAAAGTCACCCAGTCAGCTTTCATGCTTATGGGGGGACTAGAATTCACCGCCTCCTGGCGATTGGCCTAAAGCAGTGTTCCTCAACCTTGACAATTTTAAGGCATGTGGACTTCAACTCCCAGAATTCCACAGCCAGCAATGCTGTCATCATTTTATTGTGTCCCTTTCCATTGTGATGAAGGGAAGGGCTTTGCTTCTTCAACCCATGAGGAATGGGATACTTTGCACGGGCTCAGAGGCACTGGGCGTGAGGGATTCCATTGCCGGAACTGCTCCTTTTGAAGGAGGCTGGTGGACCCTCTGCCTCCCCCCTTGGCCCTCCAGCCTGGACTTCCAAAAATCACCTTCCTTTCTCCTTTCGCTTTCTTCCTCTGCCTTCCCTGGAATTTCTCTCCCTCTAGAACCGGGTCTCTTCTGCAATCAGCTCCCCCTTCCCATCTGCAGGAAGAGGGGTGGGATGTGGCCGCCTGTGGTAGGGGGTCTTGACGACAGCCGTTCCCATGGGAACCCTTTCCTCTGGTTTCCACGGCAACCATTCAGGGGCTTAGAAAGCCTTCTTCTCCATCCCCCCTCCCCGTCCTGCTACCAAAGAGGGCATCAAAAGTGATGCCGAAAGGGCTGGCCACGCTTGAGAGCTGTGTGTGTGTGTGTGTGTGTGTGTGCAGGCGCGCTCGTGTCTGGGAAGCTTTGTCGTCAGTGGTTCCAGATTGGAGGGAGGGAGGGAGGGAGGAAAAGCAATGGCTGGTGAATTGAGGCCGGATCATGGCCTGGGCCAGTGTGGAGACAAACAGGAGAGAAAGAATTTTTTTTTTTTTTTGCACGCTTAATTTCATCCCTTCGTTGCAAAACGTGTCCTTCCGTTTAGCACCTCTTTGCAAGGGGGCACCTCAACAGGACAGACTACGGCAGATGTTCGTTTCTTTAAGAGGCAGCGCTTTGGGGGGCTTTGCCTAGGACTGAAAGTGGCAGAAGGCCGGGCCGTCCTTGAGGTTTAAAAGGCTGGAGCCCGAAGATGGCTCAGGAGCTGCACAGCAGCAAGGTGGGGGGGGGGAAGGGGGGAGATAGAGGGTGGGATGTTGGCAGGGTGTTGAGTGTGAGCCAGGCTCATGACTTTAAGAACCACAGTGCAATGCTTTACTTAACAAAGGTGTCAAATGTATGAAATGGAGCAGCGGAGGAGCCCTGATGATCGGTCACTTAACAGTCAGAAGAAGAGTGTTAGCAGCTTTTCAACAAATGGGGATGCTGATTTTTGACTAGCAAAGACTCATTCGGTTCTCCGCATACTGGGTGTAAAGTAGGATTGTTAAACAAGTAGTCCTCAACTTACGACAGCTGTTTAGCGACCATATATGCCGTATATGCTAAAACATATAAGGAACGGTTGCTGGAATTGGGTATGTCTAGAATCAGGTCTCCTGGTGCCTCAATTTCCAGGAGCGGCCAAGACAAAGCGGGAGATTTCAAAGGCCAGGCATCGCTCATCTTAATGGAAAGGTCTGGGTGGTGCAGGGAGGGTGGCTGGTGGGATGGGACTCTGCTGTTCTTTTCACCTCTTGTAGCAAAGGGAGACAGTTGCTGAAGGAAGCAATAGGGGATAAAATCTTATTTTGGTCATCCCAGCAAAGGGCCCTGGGGAATGACCCCCCCCCATTGCATGGCTTTCTCCTCCGTCCTCACGGTGATCTCTCAACCACCGCTAACAGGCTGAGGAAAAGGCAACATCTTCCAGGAGAGATCGATGAAAGACGTGATGGGTCTCTAAACTGCCAGAAGGCACTGTTGCTCTAGAAGACGGGTGCAAGCGGACTGTGAACCCAGAGAGTTGTGCTGTTATGCTGCCTTCCCCGTCCAACATGTTCCTTGCAGCATCTCGTCCAAAACAGATGTGCATCCTGGCAGATGTCAAGGGGGAACGGTGAGGTAGGGGAGCCGCTGAGTTTCCCTGTACTACAAGTCCCATCCATCCCAGGGAAGATAGCAAAGAGTCTGACTTAAGTCCGTGAGTCAGAGGAGAAGATCCTCGTCAGCAATTTCTGGCTCAGAATTCGGTGCGATGATACCTTTTTCCTCCAAGCTGACAAGAAGCATAATGGTTTCCCCTCGGGGCTTTCCCACAGTCTGGCCTTCTGCTACCCATCCGAGGGTGCAGGCTGCATCATCCGAGGCAGGATTCCAGATTCAGTTGAAGAACGGGTCTGCTCGCTCAAGCAAAGAGCAGTCCCTTCTCTGCCCTCCTTGCCTCAGGCTTGGCCCAGCACCAGAGATTTCCTCCCCCCCAAAACCCTTTAAATTATAAATGCTCGTCTGGGGAAGGCAGCCAGGAGTGAGTCGGGAGATCCATGGGCAGGAACTGGCAGCTGCGCCTCGGAGCGCCTCTGGGTTTTGCTGCCATTGCAGGAACGACGTGCCAGATCAAGCACAAGGTTCTGACACGTCTGTCTGGGAACGAGCAGCAGCCCTCCGCGCGGGCTCCGGCAGCCAATCTGTGGCGGCACCAGCAAGGCCTGTCACGTCTGCGAGCCTCCCTCAGGAGGCTGGCAGAGGCAGGGTGTGTGCCGAGGGCTGTGCCCTGGCCACTGGCAAGGATTCAAAGGCGAGACAGCCGAACTGAAGCCACGCCGTGCATCCGGAGAGTCTGCTCGGAATGCCGGCCGCGGTTTCTCTGTGGGGAGAGGAGGTTCTCCCACGAAACAGAGGCAAGATCTTCTTCACCTGCCTGCGAGCTGCACCAGGGCACAGAAAGCAGAGGGGTAGGGCGGGATCTGTTCTCACCAGCTGGGGCAGTGAAACCCACCCATCCACAAGCTTCGTGGCAGAGGAAGGCGGCCAGCCTCGGTCTCCCTCCTTGCCACCTGCCACGCTAGGCCTAGCTGATGCTGATCTGGCACGAACAGCAGGGAACCTCTGCCAACTGTCTAGCAGGGTGGCAGCAGCCACTTGCTGATAAAACTTGCTATCTGGCAATCCATCTGGGATAAGAAATTGCAGCGAGGGCATCCTCACGCATGTCTGGGTTTTGAAGTAGGAGGCCTTCTTTTCTCCATTTTCCGTATCCTTGTCCAAATCTTTCCCCACTGGTTCTTCCAGCTTTAGCCACCGCTCCACAGGGACCCGAGGGAGCCAGGTGCCTGGGCCCCTCCCTCTGAGGGCTTGGCAGAACTGTGCCATCTCCCTTGCCAGGCTCCTTGCAGAAGCAAAGCTCTGCTGCCCTCTAGTGCCAGCACCCGGGAGCGCTTTCCCAGCGTGTTCTTGCTCCAGGAATACGAACAGACGACTGCGGGCAATTTTCCAACCCAGGAAGCTTTTGCTTCCCATTCGTGGAGACCAGAAATTGAAACGTTTTGAAAGGCTGAAATATCTAGACAAATTCTTCAATGAGTTTGTTCAAGCAGTTCCCGTCCTGCCTTCCCTACCCTTGGGCAACAACTACAGGTAATCCTTGGCTCATGATGATGATGATGGAGTCCAGAATTATGGTCATTAAGTCACGCTGCTTGTTAAGTGGGTCATCACACGACTGTCCAATTTTACAACCTTTTCTGTGTTGATTGTTCAACGAACGCTGCGGTTGTTAAACGAACCCACTTTGGGCACTTTTGCCGATTGTTGGATGTCCAAAATGGGGTCACACGATTGCAGGGTGGAAAGTGGGGGATGCGGTTAGAACTTCAAATCCAGGTCAAAATTACCTTTCTTGAGGGGTCAGTTGTAACTTCAAACAGTTGCTAAGCAGCTGATCACAAATCAAGGATTATCTGTACAGGCTGAATTTTGAGGAAATAAAACTAGGAAACAAAACATTTTAGCTCTGATAAAAGATAATGGAGTAGGGGATAAAATAATTGATTTCTGTCTCCCTGAGGATGTACGTAAGACATAGGTGGGTGGTTTCCAAGATGCTCAAGCAGACTTTGGACAAGTGCTCGTCAAGGATGCTTTGATTTTGATGCCCGCAGTTGGACTTCATGACCTATGGAGAACCCTCCAACATTAGGATTCTGATTTGATTTCAAAAGCTCTGCAATGTTGGCATGGCTACACAAGGGATCCTTGCTAGTTGGAGGGGCTGAGGAGACACGTCCTTTCGGTCATAACCTCCACCCTGTAAAATTCTCCCTCCAGAGATTAGAATGGCCTCAACTCTGCTGGCCTCTCCTAAGGCTTGAAAGACCTGGTTCTGGGCCTCCAAGTTATATATAACCACCTCTTTCTTACCTATGCTGGCAATTTGGGTTGATGTAGCTCAGTCGCTATGTATTTTAACTTGCGTAATGTTTATAATTGTTTTTATTTAAACTGTTTGCCACCCAATCGCTTGTCTATGGAGATTCTCAATCATCCAGAACATGGTTATCCCCAAGGTGCTTTTTCAAAACAGACCTGGACTGTGTTTTTTGTTTTTTTCCTTCAAGTCCAGTTGTCTTTTGGAAAAGCACCTTTGGGCTGCCCTCAGACTTGTTGAGACGGACAGCCATACAAACTGGTCAAATAAATTCACACTAGGACATAATGTAGTTGGTCTTACTCAATTAATCACCAACAGCCAAAATGTTTTATAGCTTGGCGTATTGGCAAGAACCTTAGGATGCCTTCTAGAGAGGATGGGTATCTGACTGGACCTATCTAATCTGGGCTACAAAATTCTAAATGGCCATTATTTGGCAGCAAAGAGGTCCTGCTGCCCACACCTGGTAGACCTACATCTAATGAAAGTTTAGGAGGTTATGTGAAGGCATGGAGGGTGGAAGAGCTGATTCAGGAAAGGGAGAGGGGAACTCCAAGCCACGGTAGAAGAGATTATCCGAGTCCTGGTAAACTAGAGAGTGTGAGAGGAAACCCCAAACAACTCTACTTTGTGTTAGGTATAAATTGAAGTAGAGAGTTTTTGACAACTTTCTGTTGCAACACTCTTCGTTGTATTAGCATTCCTTCCGAGACTCCTGTTTCCTGATCTTGTCACCTTGAAGAGCTGACAAGTTAAGCTATAAACACAGCTTCTTCTCTTGCTACACTTTTAGCAAGGGGTCGTTTCTGTCGCTGCAGAAAACAAAGCAGCCGTAGGGCAGGATGAGGAAACTCAACCGCAAAGCTCAGAGAGACGCAACAGGTTGGGATCATTTTAATTACCTTGGACATAAACTAAGAAGGCTCAGCTGTTGCAGGCAACACCTTTCTGTTGCCAACATCCATCGGCAACTGTCTGAGCCTCTGCTTTTGTTAAGGAGCCACTTCCGAAAGAGCTGCCATTTCTTGTGTCTCTTTCTGTGTAGAAGGGCAAAAGGCTCAAGACCGTTGTGGCACTGTTCGGGGGGGAGGGGGGCAACCCAAGCACTGACAGTGAGTCCATGACTAGAAGACAGCAACGGCTATTAGGTTCATCTTCTGCCCAGGGGCCGCCAATATCATCTGGCTGGTCACAGTAGGACAGGGATGATGGGCTAGAGAGGCTTTGACCTGACTCATCAATGTCTTCTGCTCTTTAAAAAGTAGAAGAACAGGAAAGATTTGGCTGGCAGGAAACTCCCCCTTACTATCTCTCTCTTAAGTATATTTTTTTAATTTTTAACCACTGACAGGACAGCTTCAATGCAAGGACGCTCTGTAACCATCTAAGGCCTCTTTCCTGTACACAAAAGTTTTTGTGTCAAGCAACTACTACACGGGAAGAGACCCAGGAAATGCCACCCAATGCCTGAAGAGCATGCATGTGACCCTTGTTAATTCGCACCCCTCGTGGTTTTATAAAACTTTTCATAACATTTATTAGTCAGAGAAGATGCTGTCAAATTCCAAGTGTTACTATATACCTCCTTTTCCTCCACTCTTTTTTTTCAAAACGGTAATCCCTTCCACCTCACCAAGGGTTAGCTCAGTGGTTCTCAACCTGTGGGTCGGGACCCCATTTGGGGTCGAAAGACCATTTCACGGGGGTCGCCAAACAACTCAATCCGCCATTTCCCCCCCTTTTCCTTAGCTGTGATACTCCCTTTTATTCTATTGGCTTTTGAAAGCCAATAGAATAGACTCTCTTGAATAGAGTCTCATTCTATTGGCTTTCAAAAGCCAATAGGAATTGTCCAGGCTGTCTCTGCCCTGCTGAGCCCCCCAAAAGTCCCATTCTGCAAATGGTGCTGCACCAGTTGAGTAGTCCTCGACTTACGACCGGTTGGCGGTCGCGGCATTAAAAAGGTTGAGAACCACTGGGTTAGCTGAAGCCATTTCAAGAGTTTCAATTCCTTCCTCTACAGCGGGGTTAGTTTCTCAGGCGGACTTCAACTCCCAGAATTTCCCAGCCAGACACGAGGAATGCGGGGAGCTGACGTTCACACATCTTGAAAGTTGCCAAGGTTGAGAAAAACTGCTCTCCTCAGGATGCCTACCATCAAGAACCTAGCAGCACTGGGGTGTTTTCTACGGAGCTGGGGGAGGGAGCAGAGGAAGGACCGCAGTTTGGATTATAGACCTTGCGTTTCGCTAAGCTGCAAATATGTTTACAAATGCAGACCCCCCCCAGCCCCTCCCCCACAAAAGCCCCCAGGCAGCCCCAGAGCACCAACAAGAAATACTCGTAAGACTGGGTGGTTGTTACAGCTCTTACTGCTCCACAAACCAGGCTGACAGAAATTGAGAGTATAAAAATAAGATATTTTCCTTACCAAAGCAAAACCAAACCAAAAGAAATGGTAAAAAAAGACATACAAAGCTCAGGGCCGGCCTGACTGCGTGATTCTCAAGCCCTGTGCTCCAGCATGCTCCGTGACCCAGTGAGGAAACGCTTCTCCTGCAGGGCAGGGCAGGCAGACGAGGGCCCCCTCGATGCGGTCTCGGGCGACCCTCGACAACGCTCGGAGCCGCTGCTCCCCGTTACCTCCTGCACCTGGCCCTCAGTTCAGCTTCAGATCAGTCTCTCTGGTGGCAGAGTAGGAGTAAGCTTTCCCCAGCACCAGGCGGTCCCGTAGAAGTTTGAAGAACGCATAGTAGTTGCTGAAGAGGATCAGGGCCAGCGAGATGGTCTGGTGCCACTTCTCGGAGACCACCAGCGAGTAGAGCTGATAGAAGATGACGGCTCCTTCGAGGAGGAGCAGGATGTTCAAGATCCGCAGAGGCTTGCTGAAAAAAAACTAGAGGGAAGAGAGATTCCTTTGGGTGAACAGCCTGCAGTTCCTGGGGCCCAGTGAAGGCCCCGGACTTCACAAAGCTATCCAGGCACCGGAGTAAAATTACATTATTTAACATTCATGCCTTTCTTATTTATTTTATTTATACCCCACCATTTTGCTCTGGTCAGCATTCAAACTGACTAGCCCGGGGTAGGCAACCTTGGCTCTTTTATGACTGGTGGACTTCAACTCCCAGAATTCCTGAGCCAGCTTGGCTGGCTCAGGAATTCTGGGAGTTGAAGTCCACCAGTCATAAAAGAGCCAAGGTTGCCTACCTCTGGGCTAGCCAAACCAAAATAGAATCTAAAAAGTTAAAACTTTCTGAGTAAACATCGCAGATCTCCATCAGATCTATTGCAATTGTTGCCTTGAATCTGGCAAAATTGCAAAAGGGAAATGAAACTGCAGTCACTTGGGGGGGGGAGTGGAACCCTTAAAAATACAACATTTTTTTTTATTTAATCAGTGTTGTGTTGCTCTCTTGGCTGCCAGGGCGGGGCTGAAAACTGTGGACGACGATGTAGGAAAAGGGCCTAGAGGAGAGGTTTGGAGGAACAAGTGGCAGTGCCCAGCAGAGGAACGCATGCTAAGTTATGGACAACTGTTGTTTACTGGCAGTTGTCTAATTGTTAACAATCAGAGAACCTTCTCCAACTTTCTAGCCTGTGGTTTTCAGATCAGCTGCAAGAGTAATGGGCAAATACTCCAGAAAAAAACTGTACTGGGAAAACCAGCCTTTTGCCAACACAATGTGCAGATGTAGGAAAGCTTTCACTTTCACACAGAACGGACCTGGAACTCCTGATTTTTAAGAATTCCCTGTGGCTAACAGCGGCATCATTGGCCCTGTTCTCTGGGCTTCTCTTTCAATTAGAAAGTTACAGCCCAGCCTTTCTAGTCATGGCAGAATTAAGTTCCCCGTTTCCTCTTCTTGAGGCAAATGCTGAACGTCCTGGCACGCTTTTAATTTAATGTTCAAGGGCCAGAATTGAAAAACACCCTAAAATAAATCATAAAGAAGGAATAGAGGCTACAGAAAACTCCCAGTAACAGTTTTCCTGACTGGAGAGCCAACAAAAAGAACATCATCCTCTGTTCACCAAGGGCTCAGAGGCTTGTAGGTGAAAGCTGCCTCTGCAATACTCACCCAGCATCCTTTGGGCTACAAGCTAAGCAAAATGGGCCTGGTTACCTCCTTTTCTGGAGACCACCAGGGCTTGTAGTGCGCTTAAAAGAAAGAAACCCCTCAAGCGAACCACTGGCTGCGCTTCTGCAACGACCAAACCAGGGTGGAGGGAGGGCAGGACAAAATGGCAGCCATCCACCATCAACATTTATACAAGGAGAGAGCAGCTTACGTGGAAGCGGAAGTGGGAGACATCCGAAGGCACTGCCACATTGCAGTGGCCCACCGCTTTGTAGACGTTTTTGCTGTGTTTCACTAGCACCCCCTGTGGCCACAGACATTCGTCCGTCCACCTGAAAGATAGGTTCAACAGGCAGCTGGAGGACCAGAAGGAGAGACTGGGCCTTTCCCAGCTGCTCATCCTCCCCTTTGGTGGCACTGACTTCCAAGGGCCAGGACAGCCAAGCAGCAAAGTGTTTGTCTTTTTACTGAGTTGCTGGGCAGGAATTTAACACTGAAAAGGAGTACTTTTTCCTGAGTCATTGAGAGAAGCAGGGGAGGGGCAGTGGGGGTGGGGGAGAAGGGTGGTAGACAGTGGTGGGATTCAGCCAGTTTGCACCACTTCGGCAGAACCGGTAGCTAATTTTTTGTTGCCCAGGCCCAGAACGGACTTCCGGAAGTAGCATCCCTGCAGAGAACTGGTTGTTCACGTATTTGAATCTATCTCCTTCCTTCCTTCCTTCCTTCCTCCCTCCCTCCCTCCCCTTCCTTCCTTCCGTGGGATTCAGCCAGTTCACACCAATTCGGCAGAACCAGTAGCTAATTTTTTGTTGCCCAGGCCCAGAATGGACTTCCAGAAGTGGCATCCATGCAGAGAACTGGTTGTTCACGTATTTGAATCTATCTTCCTTCCTTCCTTCCTTCCTTCCTTCCTTCCTTCCTTCCTTCCTTCCTTCCTTCCTTCCCTTCCCTCCCTCCCTTTCCTTCCTTCCTTCCTTCCTTCCGTGGGATTCAGCCAGTTCACACCAGTTCGGCAGAACTGGTAGCTAATTTTTTGTTGCCCAGGCCCAGAATGGACTTCCAGAAGTGGCATCCATGCAGAGAACTGGTTGTTCACGTATTTGAATCTATCTCCTTCCTTCCTTCCTTCCTTCCTTCCTTCCTTCCTTCCTTCCTTCCTTCCTTCCTTTCCTTCCTTCCTTCCCTTCCTTCCTTCCTCCCTCCCTCCCTCCCTCCCTCCCCTTCCTTCCTTCCTTCCGTGGGATTCAGCCAGTTCACACCAGTTCGGCAGAACCGGTAGCTAATTTTTTGTTGCCCAGGCCCAGAATGGACTTCCGGAAGTGGCATCCATGCAGAGAACCAGTTGTTCACGTATTTGAATCTCACCACTGGTGGTAGATTGTCTATCAAATCAAAAATCCCAAACTGCTACAGAATAATATACAGCAGTATAATATATATACAACATTTTGGGCACCAGGCACAGGTTCCGTGGGGAGGTTTTTCCGCGTGGTTTTGTGTGCTGCCTGCATCCCGCTGGCATGCCACAGCCTGGTACTGGGCCACGGACCAGGGGTTGGGGACCCTGGATATACAGGTAATCCATGCTGGCTCAGGAATTCTGGGAATTGAAGTCCACGAGTCATAAAAGAGCCAAGGTTGCCTACCCCTGGACTAGAGGCTACGAGTAGGAGGGGGACTTGGCTTTTATGCCAGCTTGTGAGGCCCTAAGTAGCATTTAGCTAGCTGGACATTTAAAAATGGTTAACCTGTTGCTAAAAAAGGGACACCAGATTAGACCAGACTTAGACACATAAGTACTTTTTTCTTCCACTGCTTAATAAGGCATCTCCACGGTGCAAGTCTCGGAAATACCAGCCAGCGTGCCCCTGGGATGCAGCAGCTGCCAAGTCTCCACGCTGGGAGCCCTGAACCTTGAAGAGGACAAGTTTAGGAAGGCTGCTTTGTACAACCCGAGTTTCTGACGGCCTAAAAGGACCGAGAAATGGATTTTGGAAAGATGGAGGCCACTCACTGATGCTGCAGCACGTTGGAGCAGAGAGATGGGTCGACCTTCTGCCAGCAACCCAGATGTGCGGCAGCCTTATGCAGGAGGTCGCAGTAGCGGGCAGGCAGCAGATGCTGCATGAGGATGACAGATGTGCTGATGGAGACCAAGAGGAACAACTCGCAAGACCACTGCTTGTCGTAATATTGTGTGCTCTGTGAAAACGCAAGGGGAGGTCAGGAACAAATAATAATAATAATAATAATAAAAAAGAGGTCCACAGCTGTACTTTCCAAACTAGACTTGCATTTCCTCAAAGTATCCTGGTCCTGCAAGGGACAGCTCTTTGATGAGTGGGAAATGGGAATTACTTGTGGAAATCTACAGCACTGGGATCGATCCAGCAAGGCTGCCCAGCTTCCAGAGTTCTTCATTACATGGTGGTTCTGGGGACCAAAGTAGGTCAAATATGTCTGATCTTAAAATCTGACCTGGAGGATGACTTCAAAACAGACTTGTAATAAACCACAAAAAGCATTTACTATGTGGTAAAAGGTGATAATATATGTGAATCATGTCAAAGTTTGCCTCAGTAACAAGGCTGTCCAAAGTGGGCAACATTAACACTATGGACTTCAACAGGTGGAGTTGAAGTCTACAAACCCTAAAGTTTCTTGGAAAGAAAGCTCTAAAACAATAAACCAATCTGTACAACCTCGCCCAAGGCACCACATTAAGAGACTATTGAACTTTCAATAGTGGTGAGTTTCAAACATCAAACCTGGCATCCTTTCCAAGACTGGGCCATGATGCCATGGTCTCAACCCACATCTGAGATCCCTAAATTTATGACGCCGAAGAAAAAAAGAACGGGATAAAACCTTCTGATCCTGAACTACGCAGAAGAGATGAGTAAATTCCAGAAGAAAATGACAAGAGTATTTATGGGGGCTGAATGCATGAGGTTAGGCTAGAGTTACATAAATATGTCAAAATTGGATCATTCCTAAAAGGGCCCATTCTGTTTTAGAAAGGGAGCAGAGCAATTCCCTTTTGGAACGGGTCCAACCTTGACCGAGAAGTCTGCCCGCCCCTCCCCATAACTGGACTGTCCTGCAGAAGCCCCAGTCCACAGCCACCTACCTTCACAAACCACACTGGTACAAAGGCCACATAATAGGCACTGAGCATGGAGCTTAGCAGCACCTCCTTCATGCGCCAGTTGAAATCCACCTTCAGATACTCTACTTCATTGCGGATCAGATCTGGGGAGAGACAGCAGGCATGGGTGGGCATAGTCTCCATGCTGTAGAGCTGCCGAGTGTGCTGCTTCCAGGTCTCCTTGAGAACAGAGAGGTAGTCCTTTCCCCGCAAGCTGACATCTCCTGTGTCACGAGGGCCAATGCTGGCCACAGGAGAGAAGAAGCTGCTCTTGCGAAAATCGCAGTTCAGCTGCAGGAAGGGGATGTACATGCCAAACCTTGGAAGAGGAGAACAATTCTGAAGTAACTTTTATGAAGTTAGATTCACCATCCGTGTTACTCTCCCAACACTAAGCAGCTTATAATTTAGCTGGCGTTCATTTTAGAGTTCTCACAGAAACTGACATGAAGCTGCTACTCTGCTAACTAGATTATAAAACAAGTCAAGCGAGAGACTGGGAAGCAGCCTGCTTAAGGTCAGAGATTTGTTTAAAGTAATTTAAAGGAATTACACGTAACGTAGCGTAATGCTTATTCTGGCGTAAATAGAATTCACTTATTAAAATATGGTCATCAAATGTCCAACTATGTCATCGCTGGCCACTGACCAAAATGACAGGATATCAAAGTAATGGAAACCCAAAATTGTTTGGAGGACTATAAATGCTTCCTTCTTTAATACAGATGGTCCTCAGTTAATGACAGCACCTGGGACCGGAATCCCGGTCGCTAAGCAATGCAGTCATAAACTGTGACGTCACGTGACAGCTTAGCAATGGCTGATCCAGCACTTCCTGGTTGCTGTCCTTAAAAGAATCCAGAGCAATCATTCAGCAAGGATATCACTTGGTCACCCTTTGCGACTTCCGGTCTGCTTCCCCCATTGAATTTGCTTGTAAGAAGTCAGCAAAGGTCACAAATAGTGATTATGTGACTTCTGGAGGCTGCGACATCACAACAGCGAGCTGGGCACTCAGAACCAGCCAAAAGAACACTTGTTCAGTGCCATCGCAAGCTTGCATAGTTGCTGAACAAGTCTGTGTTAAGTGAGGACCACCTGCAAAAGAACACATTTTGTTACAGCTAGGCTCTGGCTCAATATATTTTAGAGCAGTGGTTCTCAACCTTTTTAATGCCCCGACCCCCAACCGGTCATAAGTCGAGGACTACTCAACTGGTGCAGCACCGTTTGCAGAACGGGACTTTTGGTGGGCTCAGCAGGGCAGAGACAGCCTGGACAATTCCTATTGGCTTTTGAAAGCCAATAGAATTAGACTCTATTCAAGACAGTCTGTTCTATGGCTTTCGAAAGCCAATAGAATAAAAGGGAGTAGCACAGCTAAGGAAAAGGGGAAAAAATGGCAGACTGCGTTGTTTGGCGACCCCCGTGAAATGGTCGTTCGACCCCAAATGGGGTCCCGACCCACAGGTTGAGAACCACTGTTTTAGAGATATAAAGAGTATCGACAAGATTTGAACAAGGGTAAACAAAGAGTCTTGGTTCTGGATTGGGTCGCACTACACCAAGGAGAATTGGTTTTTCAATCTGGGGGCTTTTAGTACTATTCCATTTTGTTCTCTGGTAGAATCCTCTCCAGGACCAGTTCACAGTCACTCGTGCGTCAGCCCTGTCCCAGGTGGAGTACTACAATGTGCTCCATACGGGACTGCCTTTGAAGATCATCTGGAAGCTGCAACCAGCCCAGGATATATCAGCACAGATGCGTTTTGATAAATCCAATGCCTCTGCTCCATGAACAGACTGGTTACCAGTTTGCTTCTGGGTGGAATTCAACTGCCACCTACACCTAGCTATATTGTATGTCACCTAGAGCTGACCAAAAATAAAGGTGGGATGATAACAATACCAATTCGAAAAGGATGTTAAAAAACAGAAAATAAAGGAGAAGTTTATTAAATAGCATTCGCTTTCCTGGGCACACAAAAGCTTATACCTTTTAATAACTTTGTTAGCTGGAAAAGGTGCGATTGGATTCTTGATTTTTAATCATGAGATTTGTTTCATTTTGGGACTATTTCAGTACCAGAAGGAAGCAGAAAGAGGGGAACTGAGAGCCAGTTTGGTCTAGTGGTGAAGGCACCAGACTAGAAATCAGGAGGCTTTGAGTTCTAATCTTGACGTAAGCATGAAAGCCAATTGGGTGACTTTCGGCCAGTCACCATGAGACTGAGTTCTAATTCTGCCTTAGGCACGAAAGCCGGCTGGGTGAGTTTGGGCCAATCACACACACACACACACATATTCTCTCAGCCTAACTCACCTCACGTAGAAAGAGGAAGGAGTATTGTGTGTGTTCTCACCACCTTGAGTTATTCATAAAAATAATAAAGGTAAAGAAGAGTTACGTGGGGATGTGGAAAGAATTTATAGAGTTAATTCTTGGATTGCAAAACAGAGGAATTTGCCTAGAGATGTGGTGATATATTTTGCTAAGAAGTCTTTGCGAAATCAGATTCTACAAACTTTTTATAATAAAAGATTTCAGATTGCTGCCCAAGATATTATTATTAAAAGGAAATTCCACCTAAAATTTTAAGAAGCAGAAAAGATTTTGCTTTTTTAGTAAATGAACTTAAAGCAAGACAAATGCCATTTAGATGGGAGATTCCGATGGGCATTGTTTTGAGCCATGCGGGGACACGTTATAGACTTAATACAGTTGCTAAAGCTAAGGAATTTTATAAAACGGTCCTGGGAGCAGGCTCTCCTTTGCCCATGATGCATAAAGTCTTGAGTGACAAAGAGATGGAACAGAAATCTGAAGGTACAGGGATGATGACTGCTGGACAGGTGGTATGGATGTCTCAACCAGAGGTTAAAGAACAGAGAATGACCCGTGCAGCACATAAACGTAAAGAAAAAGAACAACAGAAAAAAGAAAAAGAAAAAGAAATTGAAGAATCTACTCAGCAAATTGCTTCAGTGCCGGTGGGAGGAGCAAGACCCAAAAGCTCTGCTACATATTCATCAGCAGCAGAATTTGAGCGGATCTTCTCCAGGCTGAAGGCCAAGGGAGATGGCAAAGCTCCTGTCCTGGAATGTTAATGGATTAAACATTCCTCAAAAGAGAAAAAAAATTTACCACTATTTGAAACAACACAACAATGATATTATTTGCTTGCAAGAAACTCATATTACAGCTAAAGATCAAAAATATTTAAATAATCCTCGCTTGGGATCTCATTTTGTATCTCCCGCCCCTGGGAAGAAAGGGGGTGTGGTAATCTATGTTAAACAGAATTTATCTGCTACCTTGTTAGAATCAGATCCTTATGGAAGATATGTTATGCTTGAACTTGGTTTATATGGCAAGAAAATTCTTATTGTGGGGTTGTATGCACCAAACCAGCAACAGGAGCAATTTTATAGGTTACTACATCAGAAAATAACTTTGTTGGACTATAGATCCGTGATTTTAATGGGAGACTGGAATGGTGTCTTAGATATACAAATGGACAAAAAAGGCTCTTCTACCTTTTTTAAACAGGCTAAATTACCTAAAGCCTTTTTTGACATGAAAGAAGATTGGGAATTGAGAGACTATTGGCGTGAACGTAATCAAGAAGAAAAGGATTTTACGTTTTTCTCAGATAGACACCAATCTTTCTCAAGAATTGATTTCTTTTTGATCACAACAGATTTATACAACAGGGTGAAGAATGTAAAAATTTTTTCTAGGACATTGTCCGATCATAGTCCAGTTTGGATGGAACTGTTTGTAGAGAAGGAAGATAGGAGATCCTGGAGGGTGAATGAGAATTTATTTAAACAAGAAAAAAATGTTCATAAATTAAAGGAATGTTTAAAGGAATATTTTACTTTAAATATGAACAAGGGAACATCATTGTCAATGGTCTGGGATGCAAGTAAAGCTTTTATGCGTGGTATTTTGATAAAAATGAATAATTTGCATAGACAGAAACAGATTCAGAAACGGAAAGACTTGGAAGAGGAGATTAAATTAAAAGAGAAACTTTTAATTTCAAATCCCTTAGATGAAAAGATTAAAGGAGCTTTAAAATTGTTAAAAACACAATTTAACATGCTGATGGCTGATCAAGCTGCAACTAATTTGCTATTTATGAAACAAAATACATTTTGTAATGCTAATAAACCAGGGAGATGGTTGGCTTATCAGTTAAGAAAAAAACAGAAACAGAGGAATATAGATAAAATAAATTATAATGGTAAATTGGTTTATCAGAAAGAATTGATTAAGAAATCTTTTTTAGAATACTATCAAAAATTATATAAGGGTACCAATATTCAAATTACAGATATAAATAATTATTTAGGCAAAGTCAACTTTCCTAAATTAACAGAAGATCAGGAAAAAAAGATTAACGGTTTAATTACTAAGGAAGAAATTGTTACAGCTATTAAACAATTGAAATTGGGCAAAGCGCCGGGTACGGATGGGTTGACATCTATTTATTATAAAGCTTTAGTAGAAGAGATGATCCAACCGTTGTGTGAACTGTTTAATAATTTATTACAGGGGTTAGAGATCCCTCCATCCTGGCGTAATGCATTTATATCATTGATTCCAAAAGATAGTCAAGATCTTACTTTGCCTAAAAATTATAGGCCTATATCTCTTTTAAATGTGGATTATAAAATTTTTGCAAAAATTTTAGCTAACAGGCTTATGGGGATCTTGCAGCAGTTTATACATAGGGATCAATCGGGTTTTATAACTGGAAGGTATATGAAGAATAACGTTAGACAAATTATTAATTTATTAGAGTATTTAGAAAAGAATAACCAAGTCTCTGCAGGCTTGATATTTTTGGATGCTGAAAAAGCCTTTGATCAAGTGAATTGGCAGTTTATGCTGTGTTTAATCAAGGAGATGAATTTTGGACAAAATATATTACAAGTATTATCCAATATATATCAAAAACAGACTGCTCAAATTATTGTAAATGGGGGTTTGTCAGAGGCTTTTGTAATAGAAAAAGGAACAAGACAGGGATGCCCGTTGTCTCCGTTATTGTTTGTTTTAACACTGGAAATTTTGGTGATTAAAATTCGGGAGTCTCAAGAAATAAAAGGAATAGAAATTAATAAAAAAGAATATAAATTAAGAGCCTTTGCAGATGACTTGGTTGTTACTTTGTCTCAACCTGTTTCTTCGGTGGTGAAATTATTACAATTGATTCAACAATATGGACGTGTTTCTGGCTTTAAAATTAATAATAATAAGACCAAAATATTAGCTAAAAACATGACTAATGGTGATAAACAGGCTCTAGTTAACTTAACAGACTTTGAAATTGTTGATAAGGTAAAATATTTGGGGGTTACATTATCTGCTTCTAATGTAAAATTGTATAAAAATAATTATGAAAAGCTGTGGATGGAGGTACAGAAGGATTTAAAAAACTGGAATAATTTACAGTTATCCCTTATGGGCAGAATTGCAGTTATTAAAATGAATGTCCTGCCAAAGTTTATTTTTTTGTTCCAAATGTTACCTATCTTAAAGAACGAACGTAATTTAGATGAATGGCAAAAAGGTATTAATAAATTTGTTTGGGCAGGGAAAAAACCAAGGGTGAAACTTAAAATAATGCAAGATTTTCGTGAGAGAGGTGGACTCAAGGTACCAAATATGAAATTGTATTATGATGCTGTAGTATTGACATTGATTAGCGATTGGGTGAATTTAACAAATACAGAAATACTTCATTTGGAAGGCTGGGACCTATTTTTTGGATGGCATGCCTATTTAATATTTAATAAAAAAGTGGATTGGGTTTTTAAGTCTCATATTATAAGAAACTCTTTGCTAAGAGTGTGGAGAAAGTATTATAAAAGTGACTTCAAAATACCATTATGGGCTATACCTCGGCATGCCATAGAAGGTATAAGGAAAGGGGTAAATATGGACAAGGTCTCTTACGTACAGTTATTAAGATGGGATGGCCAAGACTGGCAGTTAAAATCTTTGGAAGAATTAACACATGAAAACTTAACTTATTCATGGTTCCAATATAGACAAATAGTGGATAGATGGAAGATGGATTGTAAAATGGGCTGGCTTAGAGAAGATGGAATTTTTTTAAAACAAGTAAGAGATCAAAGGCCAACCCATATTAAGAGAGTTTATGGGGTTTTAGTGGAATTAGATTCAGAACTTGAACTAGTTAAAGATTGTATGATTAAATGGGCACAGAATATTGGTGAAACGATTTCAATGGATACTTGGGAACTTATTTGGATAAGAAATGTTAAATTCACACAAGCGCAAAATTTAAGAGAGAATTTTTATAAGATGTTTTATAGATGGCACCTTGACCCAAAGAAAATGTCCATTATGTACCCTAATCTACAGCCGAAATGCTGGAGATGTGGATATTTGGATGCTACCTATTACCATATTTGGTGGACGTGTAAGCATATAAAAGCTTTTTGGATTAAGATATGGTGGAATATTCAAAGAATTTTTAAAAGAAGGGTAAAATTTACTCCGCAATTATTTTTACTAGGTATTGTTATTGACTGTGATGCTAAGGAGGTTATATTGATGTTAAATTTGATTACAGCCGCTAGGTTGTTAATAGGACAATATTGGAAGAAGGAATCTTTGCCTACTTTACAAGAATGGTTTCATAAAGTTTCGTATTTGGCAGAAATGGCAAAGATTTCGGCTTTCTTAAAGGAGCAATCTCAAGAAAAATTTTTTGCGGTATGGGAAAAATGGATAAATTTTATACAACATAATTTGGATATGGAAAAATATTATTTAGCCTTTTTATAATTTGTAATGATTGTTTTTTCTTTCTTTCTTTCTTCTTTTTCTTTTTTATATATATACATTTTTAATGTATTATTATTCATATATTTTTTTTTTTATATATATATATGCTTTATTTTTCGTCTACTTTCTTCTTTCTTCTTTCTCTCTCTCTCTTCTCTTTTTATTTTTTATTTTTTTTCTTTTTTAGTATATATTATTCATTTTAAAGTTTATGTTATGTATATTATTTCTATATATATTATTACTGTGATTTTTATTATTATTATTAATTATTTTATAAATTGCAAATGTTATTTTTAAAATATTTGTTAAATAATCCTATATTCAGTTCTGGGAAGTCGGGGGGGGGGGTGGGGTGGTTGGGGAGGGGGGGGTGGATTTTTATTTGTAAAACTTTTGAAAAATTTCAATAAAAAAAAAAAAAAAAAAATAATAAAGGCAGGATATAAACAAACCAACTCTCTTTTTTGGTACTTACGGATAACATAGGAACAAGAGGTTGAGGAACGAGTATGATCTGAAGAGGTGGATAATAGACTGGCAGAGGCTCCAGCCTGTGCCAGTTAGGACAACAAAGCGCATGGTGACCAGGAAGATGGAGCGTGGCAAGGACACCTTGCCCGAATGAGAAGCCTAAAGAAACAAGAACAACAAAACACAAAACAAAAAGGAAACAAGGATGTCATTACTTCTGGTGAGGAGGAAAACGAACAACGTTCCAGAATTCTAGGGGCTGATTTGATTTTTGAGGGACTGTAATTCCTAAGTCTATGCCCACTCAATTTATAATGGAAGTAATTATAATTGGAATAAACCTGCTTAGGATTAGGATTGCAATATGTAAGACTTGCTCCTGACATAGTAAGAAGCAGCTGACGCATAATCAGAAGCAGTAATTTCCCACATTGCTGACCCAACTGGGGCCACTTTACCTCTTTCACTTCCTTCACAATAGCAATGATCAATCTTCTTGCCAAAACAATAGTGGTCACTGCCAGGACATTGAAATCAATGAGATGAAAATTCTGCAGGAAGGAAAGACAAGACTGTACAAATCAAATAAAAATTACACTTCCCTCTCTCTCTCCAGCAGCTGAGCTCTGGATTTATCTATAGTTACTTCTGCTGAAGAACTATCTTCAAATTAGTTATACAATACTGCATTGGTCACTCTTTGTCCCACGCAACCCCAACAACACCCTTTTTACTGAACCAGCACTTTGGCTCTTATTCCTCCCAAAGATGTCTTCTTTACCAGAGATACAATTTTTATATACTGGATTCATGGGTGGGATGACCCTGGCAAACTTTGACAAAGTTAACTAGTCTAACAGGTTCATTTCTGGATACTACATTCTGGTGAAACGACACTGTGAACCTAGCAACACACAATCTACATTCTGCATCACTTACACGCTTCCATTCAGACACAGCGCAAAACCTGCAGCCAAGCAGAAAGATGTTCTTTCAATCACTTTTGATTTGGCTACACAATGAAGGAAAAATAAGATAAACAGAAAACACACCCAGGAAAAATCTGCAAGGCAGAGAAAGAAATCTACAGAAGGCCGCTTATTTCAGTTTACCGCTGCTGCCTAAAATATCCATAGATATTGCTCATAGTGTATCTTGGACACAATCACAATCACAAGCAGCCACTCAGGTTTACCAGCAGTAAGACATTGTTCCACCATGTTAACAACCGCATCCGGCATAAGATTCAGATGTCAACTCTTCCCCTGCATTGTGTCTGCTAACACTTGCATAAGACACAGGGATGTCATCTGCAATATCTGTATCTGAGATAGCCAAACATCTTTAAATATACCAGCATCCTTAGCTAACAACTATATTCCTTACTGGCTAGGATTTTGCAAGAGACAAAATGAAGCTCATTCTGAAATTAAGAACATCCCAAATTCCATAGGGGATTGTCTCAAACACCTGGTTACTGACTTCAAGGTAAATGTTTCTGAGCAACCAAATAAAAACCTGAGCAGGATTCATAAACAGTTTCAAATTATTTGACATAGATTAGAATAGTGTTTCTCAACCATGACAACTTTGAGAAGGGGGGAGACTACAACTCCAAAAATTCCCTACCCAGGATGCTTGGCTGGGGAATTCTGGGAGTTGAAATCCACCCCTCTTAAAGTTGCCAAGGCTGGGAAACACTGGATTAGGGGCAGCAAAGATTTAATCCTCCAGGGAAAGACTGAAGGCAAACGAGGTCCAGGCAGAAGAAGAACATCGTGGCTTCAAAATCTAAGGGATTGGTTTGGACAAACCTCAGCAGGACTTTTTCGTGCGGCTTCTGATAAGAACAGGATTGCCAACATGATCGCCAACGTCCGATAACGGATAGGGCACAACAAGAAGATTTCCTATCATACAGCCTACATAGTTCAGCTCGCAAACGTGGGAACAACTATGTAACATTTCTAAATGGATATCAAGAAGGCATTGCCATTGCCCTTTGTCTTCAGACCATGGGTATACAAAACCTCCCTCTCATTATAATGGCTGACAAATCTTGATGAAGTGCATCAGAGTTTACGCTGCAATGGGCCTGAGAATGCACGCTCCATGAGTGCAGCCCCAGGCTCTTCCTCAGCTACTGCTTTTCTGTAAGACCCTTCAAATTATTAACATTAACAGTTTTTCAAAGGATTAAGACCAGACAATACAGAACAGGATTTAGCTTACTGGAAAATTCTGGGATTGAAGTCCACACATCTTAAAAGTGGTCAAGGTTGAGAAACACTGGCATAGAAGGTTAATATTAACTTAGAGACCAGATTTAAGAAAAATATAGCTTTCGCTTGCCATGTTATGTGCAGCCTTTATACATTCCCCACGACTCATAGCAGACCCCCGTTATAAATTATACTTGTATACTCTTAAGTTTAGTATTCGAGCAATTTTGAAGTTAAGTTTAAGAAGAAATCTGGGTAGCATTTTCTCCAACCTGACTGCCCTTGGACGTCGTCTTTCACAATCTTAAGGCAGCAATATTTTTTCTAGTTTTATAAACGCGATTTAAGATCTCGCAAAAAGGCAATCGGATATGAAATACTCACCAATGAAGTATGGGAGGGAGGGTGAGAGGGTGGGTACCACCAGACTGTTTTGTAGATGTTTATGTAGTGGACAAAGAGAGCAATAAGATGACAGAAGAAGAGTTGGAGTTCAAACAAGATGCTCCTTTCAATGGGCAGTTCTGGGATCTTGCAATGCTGGAGAGGAACCACTGTTTGGGTTGCCAAAGGAGGGCTGGAAAGACCTGTCCCTGAACCGCTCCTGTGAGAGGAAAACAGAGCAGGTCAACTCAAAAAAGAGGTTTGTAGACATTCATGTGCCTCACTCTGAAGCGGATAATTCCCCATGACCCAACTGATCAGCAAACCCATGATCAGTTTAAGCCAGTGTTTCTCAACCTTGACAATTTTAAGGCATGTGGACTTCAACTCCCAGAATTCCACAGCCAGCAATGCTGGCTGTGGAATTCTGGGAGTTGAAGTCCACATGTCTTAAAATTGTCAAGGTTGAGAAACACTGGTTTAAGCTAAGTCTATTTGAACAGTGCTGGGGTCAGAACACACAAGTTCTGCCCTCTTGGTGGGGGGTGAGGTAACAAACAATCTTTCGACCTTGAGGATATAGATAAACTGCATAATAAATGCTGGCCAATAATGATATCAAATGCCATTCTTGTTATGGATAAGGTGGGTTGAATTTTCTGCTTACGGTGAGACTACACAGTTAATAAAAGTGGAGGCTGGCCCAAGTCAGGTTTTGTGGTTGTTGCTTCCTTGTTACCTTGTAGAAATATGTCCTGTTTTCAAAATATTTCTGAGCGAGTGATTAGAGAGGCTTATGTGCATTCTGGAACTTTGGTAATTCTCTGCTCTTGGTTCAGGTATCTATTTTACTTATTCAACTTCCAGTAATTTGGCCTTAAAGGGAGTCTTCGATTTATAACCCCAATTGAGCCCCAAATTTCTGGTGCTAAGTGATACATGTGTTAAGTAAGTTTTGTCCCATTTTGCGACCTTTTTTGCCATCGTTGTTAAGTGAATCACATGGTGAAGTGAACCAGGCTTCCTCTGTAGCTCAGCTGTACCTGGTACGTGAACGCACACTAGTGATTGAAGAAGTTGTGGAGTGGCTGGCACCACCAGGAGCTCCAGCTTCACAGAGAGGATTGCGGCAGTAGGATGTCCGGTTAGGTCCCCTTCTTCCCCCTGCCATAACCCCTGGCAACCAGAGGGGCAGCCCCACTCCTCAAACAATTTCTTTGATTCTATGAACTGGAAATGAAAATTTTGTTAGGCCCGCATTGTTATAGCAATTCCTAAAATATCCAGAAAGCTCTGTGTAGGTTTACCATTTGAAAAAAGTATCTCGTATCAGGAGTTGGTGCACAAATATCAAATCTGCACATTACATAAATGTCTTAGTAAACTGTACAAGAATGATGGAGCATCATACGTTTCTTTCTAAACTGCAGATACATCAGGCTCAAAGTTAAAACTAGCAATTTCCTGAAGCTCACTTCAGTCTTTTATTATATTATATTATAATAGCATGTTGCACATATCTGCTTGCCATTTCTGTAATCCTCTTCCTTAACCTGGCACTCTCCTGCTTCAATGGCTGGCTAGGAAACATGGGAACTATTGTCTTATATATGCTAGGGGTGCCAAATTGTGGGATGCTGCAATGAGTTCTACTTATAACAATCATGAGTTGCTTCACACAGGTACATACACATCTTAATAATACAGCATGACTAAATCTGTGCACCTCTTTTGAGGAATCCCATTTCAATTTTAGAATATGTTATCACTTCAGGAATATTTTTACATGGATCTAGATAGAAACAGCAGTGTTATATTTAAAAGTTCAAAACTGGTTTCTAAAAATTTCATTTGCGAGGGCCACTTGCTCCCAAATAGCCTGTTTTTATATATAATATATATTTATAATTTATATAGAAAATCTGAATGGGGGAAGAAATCTTATGCTACCATCTTGGGGAAAAAATAGACCAAAAATATTAATAGTCATTCATTCCAAAATACTCTTATATCCAGTTTGCCAAGTCAGGAATACCCCCAGCAGTGTAAAAGAATCCACACAATTCCGCAGCATTTGGAAATGATAAATATTAAACGTTTAATTTAAATATCAACGCAAAATTAAAGCTGGGAAAATTCATAAGGTTCTTGATGATCCAAAAGATGGAATGTTAAAATAAATAAGACATATAAAATTATTGATAAATGTAAGAAAGCTATTAAGTAGCTGATGGATAGAATAAGAAGTATATTAATTTAAAACAAGGGACAGTATGTAATAAGGGAAAAAAGAGAGGAACTATTGGCTGTAATAGTTGCAGATCTGTATTAATAATATTTGCATGTAATGGAATTATTGTAACTCAGACGCCACGTTGCTTTTCAAAGATATAATTGTAACATTGGAAAATTAATAAAAAGTTTTTTTTAAAAAAGCATTTAGAGCAGTGTTTTTCAAACTTGACCACTTTTAAGAGGGGTGTATTTCAAGTCCCAGAATTCCCCAGCCATGAATTGGCTGGAGAATTCTGGGGGTTGAAGTTCACATCTCTTAAAGTGGCCAAGTTTGAAAAAACACCGGCTTAGAGCTTCCACAGTTAAAGAATGGAGGAAGGGAATGAACTGTCAGTGAAGAAGCCCCGTCAAAGCACCAATAGAGCAGTGGTCTTCAACCTGGAGTAGTAACTCCCGAGAGGGCAGCTGGAGCACTTCCTAGGGCAGGGGAGGCGACCTTGGCTCTTTTATGACTGGTGGACTTCAACTCCCAGAATTCCTCAGCCAGCATGGGGGAAACTGTGGCCCCCTCTATGACTGGTGGACTTCAACTCCCAGAATTCCTCAGCCAGCATGGGGGAAACTATGACCCCCTCTATGACTGGTGGACTTCAACTCCCAGAATTCCTCAGCCAGCATGGGGGAAACTGTGGCCCCCTCTATGACTGGTGGACTTCAACTCCCAGAATTCCTCAGCCAGCATGGGGGAAACTATGACCCCCTCTATGACTGGTGGACTTCAACTCCCAGAATTCCTCAGCCGAATGGGGGAAACTGTGGCCCCCCTCTATGACTGGTGGAACTCAACTCCCATAATTCCTCAGCAGCACCAGGGGGAAATTCTGGGAGTTGAAGTCCACCAGTCATGAGCCAAGGTTGCCTACCCCGGTCCTAGGTAAAAGGAGCCATTTGTAATGGCTTGCTGGCGAGTCGAGGATCGCTATGCAGAGACGCTCGTGTGAAACAACCGTTTGGGAGTGAGGGGTCATTATAGGAGAGAGATCAGGGGTCAGGAAAAGGCGCATGGAGTTAAACAGCTGAAGAGCAACCGGGATAGGAGGAGGAGGCAGAAATGTAATCGATTCCGCGCCCCCGCCGCGGCCCTCCTGTCCAGCCCCGCGATTTCTCGCCTTCAGGCTGTCAAGAAAGGCCGCGGCCAGAGCCGCAGGTCTGTTCCGGCGCGACCCTTCTGCCTCGCCTGAGGAGCCGGCGGGCCAAGTGCCATCCTCGTGCCGAAGGAGGCCGCGCCGGGGGTCGGAGAAACGCGAGGGTCCCCGCCTCCCCCGGGACGGAGCGCGGCTGAGGCGCTGCTGTAGCGGCCCTTCAGCGTCTCGCCGCCTTCGCCTCACCCATCGCCGGCAGGATCGCTCAGCTCCGGCGGCCGCGGGAAACAAAATGGCGGGGGCGCGGCGCGCTCTCGACGCTGGGAAGGGGACGGTGGCCGGCGAGAGACAAAAGGCCTGTCGTGAAGCTCGCTCGCTGAGCCCACGTGAGCGCCCCGCCCCTTCGCGTCCCGGACTTTATCTGGGAGGAACTTCGGAGGGTGCGCGCGCAACGTGGTGCTGGCTCAGGAATTCTGGGAGTTGAAGTCCACGAGGCATAAAGGAGCCAAGGTTGCCTACCCCTGGTCTAGACTCTAGACAAAGGCGGCACTCCCAGCACACCAGTCTGCCTTGCGAAGCTCAGCCGGAGAGGCAAAGACCCTGAGCTTGGAACCCTGAACAGGGCCGGATGGGAGACCACCAGGAAATCTCACAGCACCAGCTAGGCTAGGCAAGAAATATCCTGGAATATTTGGCAAACTTCCCTAGTCAACTATGCAGACACATCCGTGGAGTCAGCAGGAATGAAGCTACTTTTTAATTCAGACTCTTTAATTCCTGAAACTCACGTTTCTCCAGCTGCCCAATGAAATGAAGCTGTTGGCTACTAGGGGTGGCTGCTTCCCACTACTGTGTACACTCTTGGGCACAATAATTTAGTGCCTATCCTGACAGCATTTCGGCAAATATTGTGATTGTCTCCAATATTTTCTTCTTGATGTACTGTACAAAAATGATTTCCAAAATGGAAAGTCACCTTCCTGAACTTTAGATAACATGCCTTAAATTATGGTGAGAAATTATAGCAGGAAATGTTGCCTGCATATAACTTGCATTTTCCAGAGTTGTGCATTTACATTAAATGCTGTTTATGCTATTTTGTGGTCCTACCTACTCTCTACACCAGGGATGTCAAACTTGCGATGCCACATGACATTGCACCATTGCCAGTAATGGGGTGGGCACAGCTTCAGTATGATGAAACCGGCCGTGGGCCTGCACTTTGATACCCCTGCTCTACACTTTTGAAGGAGTATTCAATTACTGGATTATTTAAATTTGATTTGAAAGTGTACTTCAAATATGCTTTGATCCCTTAGCAGTGAGGAACTAGATCAGCCAGGAGTTAACAAACATGTGTATCCTTTGAATATTTAAGCAATTTCAAGCAGATACTTTAAATCTCTAGATTTGCTTTTCAAAGAGTTAAAATATTGCAAAGATAATAAAAATGGAAACAATATATCCAGCATTATGATCTTTTGTTCTAACAGCTGTGAATGAAAAGGGGGGAAAAGTACTAAGCTCAATTTCTGTGCTATGTGAACCTTTTTTTGGTTGCTTCTAGTAATCCTGAGAAATTAGGAAGAACTAAGAAACTGTTTGGCAGAAGGAATCTTTCAAATCCAGAATGTTTGTGTGGAAAGAATTACATTTATTTCAAACGGGAAGGGTTGCAATTATAATTAAATCCATTTTTTCCGTTACCTACCTGGTAACAATACAAGTTTCTGTTTTCCATATTACTTCTTTCAGTACTGTGATAAATGATATTGCCTGATCCATATGAAGGCTGAATTATAATTTAAAAATAAAGTTCAGCTGAATGTCCATGGGTTGCTCCATCTAATGAAATGATTAACATAAAATCATACTTTTTTTTAAAAAAAGAACCTTTATTCAAATGTACTATCATAGCACATGAAGACAGATCCAAATCACACTTCTTTGTTCCAGTAATAACCATAAAAAGAGGAATTTCTAGAAAGTCAGTGTATTCTTTTAAAATAGACATGTCAAACTTGTGACATCATGTGACGTCGCACGACATATTGGAGCTTTTTCCCCATTGCCGGCAATGGGGTGGGCGTGGTTTCCTGGTGATGTGTCCAGTTTGACACCCGTTTTAAAATATGAAAGTGCATTGGAGCAATTATGGAGCAATAAACCACCAAATTATTCAGATCTCGTTGAAACACTTTACACAGGCATAGGTATCAGTCTGCAATGTCATTTTATGTCAGCCAGAATTTATAATACTTCCAAATTTACAGCTTGGTGAAATAAGCTAAATGGGAAGGACTACATTATTTATAAAATAAGCCTCTCTGAAGTTCTGTGCAGTACATATGGAGTTGAAAAAGATTGGGAAATCTTCAAGACTTGATAAGAATATGTTCTATTATAAAAGCTGTTTCCAAATCATCTTCTTTGATTTGAAGACTCCATCTATTTGGGGAAAAAATGGAGAAAGTTACTGAAATAATAGCACTTAACTCTTGACTATGTTGAACAGTTTACATGCTAATGGTTCTTAAATAGTGGCATAATATGATTTAGTGATTTACAGTCAGAGTCCCCAAAACAATACTCGTGTTTTCAAAATGCCCCCGAGAATTCAGTGAAATATATCCATGATGGAAGCCAAGAGATGTTTTAGTTCCTATTACGTACTCAAGAGACATGCCACTTTCAGTTTAAGAGGTAGCTTGCATCTTCAGACTCATATAGAGCTCATTGTAAGAAGAGTCTATGGTAGAAAAAAATCAGGAGTCTGATACAGTTTTTACAGCTGTTGATTGCTAGTCACAAAAGCTTATGCCTTGGGATAAAATTTGTTAGTCGGAAAAGGTGTTAACAAAACTTGTTACAAAGCATTCACTAAGCTGTAGATTCTTCCATTCATGATTAAAGGAAACCACTTTATTAATGTGCAAGGCTTTTACAGATTGTTCCAGGCAATGAGCACAATGTAAAAAAAAGAATACCCCAAGAACAGACACAACAAAACAGTGATATTTTTAGAAAAGCTTATGAAGCATTGGTGTGTATAAAATGGCTGTAGTCCTTGTATTTATTTAAAAGTCCCCCTCTGCAGAGCTTGACTCTCCCCCCAGTCTGAGAAAAGTCCGTTCTAGAACGTTCTGAAGTTTATTCTCTCACATGTTTGTGTGCTACAATTCCTACATTTTTTTTTTCAGCCAGCCAAGGTGACTTGCTCAGCTTGTTTTAAAGGTACAGTGCACTTTGTTTATATGGTGTTTGGCACCCAATTTTGTTTTGTTGATCCAGACCAAGTAATACCTGCATCCACTCCGCTCGAGTTCTTCTTACTGGGAACTCTTGCCATCTTTTTAGAATCTGTTCAGAACTGCCAAGAGCTGTCTGATTTTATTTCTGCTCTTTAAACAATTCACTAGGCTATTTCAAGCTCTGAATGCTACCTATCGTGTTTCTTTACTTCGATGCAATATTTAAAAAAGGGAGCATGGTTTAATCACACACTAGAAAGAGTTTCTCTACTTACCACCCAGTAGAGACTTACACATAGTCCTTGACTTATAAATGTGGGATCGTAACTTCTGTTGGTAAGCAGTGTGGTAAAATACAACTGGTCTAGTGGTTAAGGCACCAAGCTACAAAGCAAGAGACTGAGAGTTCTAGTCCTGCTTTATGCATGTAAGCCTGCTGGATGACTTTAGACCAATTGCCAGGAGACGGTGAGTTCCAGTCCCCCCTTAAGCATGAAAGCTGACTGGGTGACTTTGAGCCAATCGCCTGGAGACGGTGACTTCTAGCCTCATCTTAAGAATGAAAATCCGGATGTTTTGGGGCCGGCCACACGCTTACCCACCTTACAGGGTTGTCAGGAGAATAGGAAGGAGTCTGAAGTCTGTTCACCGTTTTGTGTTATTTATAAAAGTAATAAAGGCAGGATATATGTAAAATAAATAAAAACTTTTAATTAAATTAAAATACAATAAAGCCTTAATCACGCCCAAGCAAAGTTAAGTACTTTGAAAAGTACTTACTTTTTCCAGAAGAAAAAGTACTTAACTTTTTCCAGAAGACAGACAATGTTTGGAAAAAACAAAATCCAGATGGCAAACCTCATCACTGCAAAATACCCTTTGGGGCTTCTGCCCTGTCCTCCCCATAAAATAAAGGGGGACAACCATCTCCAAGCACAGGACTAGGCAACCTTGTCTCTTTTATGACGTGGACTTCAACTCCCAGAATTTCTGAGCCAGTATGGCTCAGCTTGGAAACCTCCCCCTTTCCCCTCAGCATGGCTGGCTCAGGAATTCTGGGAGTTGAAGTCCACCAGTCATAAAAGAGCTGTTGCCTACCCCTGTCCTAGCAGGAACTGAATAGTCGGACCAATTACAAAGATGTAATTCTGCAGACGACCTCTTAAAACTTTAATGACAGCCAATGCAAAAATAACCTACACAAACTGCAGGAATATTGTTTCAAAACCAGACAAGCAAAAAGAGATAAATAACATACCTAACCTGTTCTCACCAAATGTCATTTTCATCCAAGCTGCCAATCGCTACCTGCAAATGGAAAAACAGGGTAAGTCTTCTCACCACCAAACGCAACTTGAAAGAAATTTTGACATAACTTTTGCATGCAACTTAACGCTGCAGGGAAAGGAAACATGCAACTTAAACCTAAAAAAATGGGCATTTTAAGATAGTGAACAGCAATAATGGGTCAATAAGGGCCGAGTTTTTACTTGGATTTTGTTGATAAACACAGGACTAGCTACATCATTTATATTTAAGATTTAAATCTTTTCTGCTTTTGCCCAAGGTTACAGTTCCATTACATTGACAAAAGAGCACAAGTATTAAAACATTATTACTAATTTATGCAGATGCACGTGGATATATTTTAAGTATCTACTTTTAAAACATCTTTTTTTTTCTTTTTACCAACTTTTACATTAAAGTTAACACTTGAAGAATTTCAGTTCTAAATAGTTTATGCAAGTTGCCGTCACAGTTTATGTAAAAGAAATGCGCTATTAAAATCAGACATTTAGGTTACCTTTTGAGTTTTTCGGTGCATGTTAGCTTTAAGACATCCTGAATTCTCCTGCGATAATTTTCCTTTAAAAGGGGGGTTGGGGCGATCTTTTCATCAAGCAAGACATTAAACCCTGAAAGCTGACTCCAAACCGTTGCGGAAAATTCAGTTATTTACATTTTTTTTAAAATAACAATCTACAAAATAACAACCTTTTTGTGTTTTTGGTTTTTAAAAGTAATTTCCCTCAATCATGCACTTCTGTGAGCAATTTGACAGTAACAGTGGATTTTTTTTTTTCACCCCCAAGCAGTTCCTCCCCAATGAAAATCCAATTTTAAAAAAATGGCCAAGAAGGGAGCAGAGAAACAAGCCACAATATTACATAGCCACCTATTCTGGTTTTAGACCAGGGACAAACAGCCAATTAGCCTTATAGCCAATGGTGGCTTGGATTTTTTTTTTCCCCAAAGGGAAATTCCTTGGAGGCAGGAATTCAGTGACCTGAGGCTGTGTGAACTGGCCAGCTTTGCAATGTTCTGTTTTATGCCCCTTTGTCATGGGCCACAGCGAAATCACCTGCCCGCCTGCCCCCCAGCATAAGCCATTATTTTTGACTGTTAAGAGGCAGGTCATCCAAGACCCCTTTTCTTTTGTATAAAGGACTTTTACTTTCTAGGACATTGCACAAATTGACAATGGTTTGGCCCAACCGTGCCTGGCGTTCGGTGGAGGGTACATCCAGGGGGACGTGCCTTGGGCAAGCAGCCACAAAAGGGAGGGGGCTGTGCCCTTTTGAAATCAACTCTGGTTGCAAGGGGACAGCACAGCATCGCTACCTAGAGGTGGAAGGTCAATAGCCGGGAGAGAAAGGAAAGGCTTTCCTTAACCAGTGCCCTCCAGAAGGATTGGACTGAATCTTACCATCCCCAAGTTGGGGATGCTGAAATCTAGTACTTCCCCAGGAACAGCAGGTTTAAGAAAGGTAAAGCAAAAACATTTATGCAGCAGCTTGAAGCCTTGTTCAACTTCCAGGGGGTGAAAAACAGTTTTGTTTTAAAATTAAGCTCGTTTGGCTTCATAAAAGTTTTAAAGTTTCAGAGTATACCATTTTATCTTTTCTGCTTTTAAGTCTTTTTTTTTTTAAGAAAACAGACCATGTTGTTTAACATTAATTTAAATTTTATTGAAAGAGGAAAATCTATTTTACTGCTTGACCAGAATTAAAAAAAAAATGACAATTCATCACATTTACTTTGATTAAAAAAAGGACTGAACTTTATTGACAAACTGCTGCAGACATCTTGACAAATTTTTAGCTACCTATTTCGGCAAGCTTACACACGTAGTAGCATTTAATCTTCCAAGAACAAAATGGGAGGACATGTACAAATCTATGTACAAAAAAGCTCTCTCCTTGGTTTTTCAGCTGCAATGTCCCTTTTTTAACATAATACGAGTGTCGAGACACACAAACATGTCACTGGAATAACTAAAAGCTTGACAATGTTGCCAATTGTAAGCCTGAACTATATTATGTACTGCAAACACTCGTGTTAGCTTTTCATTAAAGGGAAAAAAAAGACACAATGCACAGCTACTTATATTTAATACTTCCTAATATCAAAACACTGGGCAGTTAGAGCAATATAAAATTACAGAGCAGCTAGATGTCCATTTTCTTAAAATCTCTTCATGCACAATTGAGCTAAGAACACCTTTCGCTTGAAAACCTCTGTTGTTAGCATCCCAGAATTTGGGGATAAATTTCAATATCCACATTGGAAGTCTTTCTACAAACCTAATTTTTTTTTTTTTAAAAAAAAGGTTAAATCTACTGAAGGAAACCCCTTGCCCCATCATTTAATTTGTTCTGGAGGATCCTTCCTATTAACGTTTAAAGTTAAGATTAATCAAGCAATCTGCTTTTAAGGGCAAAATTTTGACATCTGACCTTGCTTTTAACTGTGGCAATCATTATAGTTACATTTTAATTCATTAAAAAAAAAACAACCCTGAATTTTGAAATGTAGCCTACTTTGGGATTCTGCAACTAGAACTTTTATGGGTTGCCTAAAAAACAAAACAAAAAAAATTTAAAGATTAACAAACTTTAATTCCATAACTGTTAAGCAAGCATGTCACTTTGGAAACTAACATTTTATCTCAAAAGTTTTCTTTTTAAAGGTACAGTTGTTGTTTTTTATATATATATCTAAACAGAGAAAGAAAAAGCAGTCTACACACTTAAAAGTTGAATTCAGTTTTCTAACTCTAACTTATTTAAAATACTACATACAGAAGCAGAATGTAGGGTCAAGTGGTGGGGGAGGATGGAGGTGGGAGAAAAAGGGAGCCAGAGAAAAATCAGGGAGACAATTACTTGTCTGTTGTGGTAAAGCAAGAGGAATCCTGGGAGACACTAGAATCAGAAACAACTGTTTGTTCAAAAGGGCAATTGGCCCTGCTGAATGTTCTAATAGCGTCCGTAGGGGTGCTCTCGATAGGCTCCCTTCACTGGCCTTGCAGGGGGGGCCTTAAGAGAAGGCCTGGTTCCATTCCAGTCGTCTTGACCTGCAGGAGGAAAACAAACAAAACCAAAAAAACCCCCATCACATCTGCCCATCTTTCAACTCCACACAGATCCTTGGTCCCCCCCCAAAAAAGATAATAGGAGGGGGAAGGTGTATTAGATATATTCACCACCTTCGGTTGTTTATAAAAATAATAATGGTGGGATATAAATACAAATTAATCAATATATATTCTTAAGGTGATCCCTAAAAACATTAATTATCAGCTTCATAGGATTTCTGTTTGAGCAAAACACCTGATGCCCAAATTCAGTTAATGCAAGTTGTGGTGGTGGTGGGGGGCACGGAGGGAGGCTCAGCCAATTTCACTGTATACATGTTATACTTTGATAATAAAGGTTCATTCATTCATGTAATAAAGCTTGGACCCATATAATCACTGTGCTTCTATCCCCTGACATGCAGACGTACCATACGCCTCATAAGATTCTTGAGCTTCACCATGTCCATAATCGTAATATTCTGTTTCCCTGCAAGAACAAGAGGCAGCATTGATGTTTTCTAGATATTATACTGTAATTATTTAGAACGGTATTAATTTGAGGCTTTTGCAAAGCAGTTTTTAGTAAGAAAATGAAACAGTAGGCTACCTTACCAGCTTTAATCCTACCCATGTATGTCACATATATTGCCAAAGCATAACATTATTTAAATATATAACATCATCTCTGAAAGACTTCCTTAAAAGTCAATATTCTGTTCCCTGCATTCCACTAACCAAGAGATATGCGCAGTTTACTGAAAGTCAGCGAGAAGTAGTAAGCACATGTGCTTAAAAATCAAAGAGCAAATGCAACTTGGCAGAAGGTCCACTAGAATTAGGCCTAATACAAACAGAAGTAGCAGTGCTTACAAGGGTCTTCAAGATTGGCAAATTTAAAACTTATGGACTTCAACTCCCAGAATTCCCCAGCCAAGTTTGGAGATCCCTGGCCTATTACAAAAAATAGACCGGAAAAAAGTGAAAAGGCCCTGTGATTCTGCTCACTTTGTTATATGGAAACAAGAATGAGCTTTGTCAGGAAAACCTACGAGATGAATGTGAGGAGGAGCTATTCAGCAAAGGTACATGATAACACAAAAAGAGATAGGGCAAGAAAGCCCAGGTGAATACAAGAATGAGCAACCAGTATGAAATCATAAATGGTCTTTCAAAATTGGTGAGCCCTTTTGAACAGTCAATATTTCTGCATAAATATGTGCAGACACAAGTCCTCAAACAAGATAGAGAAGTCTGTCAAAAATATTGTTACTTGTTTATTGATTCAGTGAGCAAAATGGACCCAGGCGACCAACAGTAGAAAGGGCAATAAGCAAACCAATAGACTTTCCAGGAAATACCAGACAGCTGGCGTTAAAAAAGCTAAAGGAAGGACTTACTGTTGACCCTGGCTATAGTAGCCTTCGTATCCTTCGTAACTTTGCTCAGCATAAGCATCGTCATAGCCCTGAAATGGACAAAACAGAGAGAGAAGGGGGTCAGCAGCTAGAGCTGCAGGAGAAGGTTCATTAGAAAAGGGAACAGTGCCTCTAATTAAATTCTGTCAGGCAGGCAATTTCTTGTAAGTCTTAGCCTCATCTGGGAAGATCATTTAGTAACTTGATCTTGAGAAGGCTCATAGGAATTTTCGGTGGGACAGAATTCCTTTTAATTCTTTTAGCAAATTATTTCTAGCAACTATTTCCAATGATCTAGAACAGGGCTTCTCAACCAGTGGTACGGGTACCACCTGTGGTACATTGACACCTGGCAGGTGGTACACAGCCACCCTAGAAAAGTGGTAGTGGGGAAGGGGAATGAGCTGGTGGCAGCACCGCACAAGCCTGAGTGAGAGATGACAGTCTTTGGAACTGTCAGGGCTCAGTGGAAGCGCCAGGATCAGCGCCAGGCTCCAGTTGGAGCTCGGCGCTGATTATGGCGCTTCCGCTGAGCGCAGAAGAAGCGCCAATCAGCTGGAATGTTGCAGCATCTCCAGGGCCTTGTTGCTTGGCAACTGATTCATATTTATGACGGTCACAGGGTCATGTGAAGTGACCAAAACCTGCTGCAACCACCCAGCAGACAGGGGAAATAAAAATCAAACACCCGCCCCACCCCCGCTGCCAATCCTCAACAGAAATTCTCACAACAATGAAAACCTCGGACAGGAGGAAGAGCGCCGCCAGATGGGCAGGCAGGTGTCTTGCTCGGCTGTGCCTTGGGGAGCACTTTTTTCAGTGCCATTGTAACTTCGAACAGTCACTAAATGAACTGTTGTAAGTCGAGGACTACCTGTATATCCTAAAAGTGGTACAAGGGGTGAAAAGTTGAAAAGCCCTGATCTAGAACACGGGTGTCAAACTTGCCGCGTCAGGTGGCACAGTGACTTTTCCCGCATAGCCAGAGCTGGGTTGGGCACAGCCTCTGCATAATGCAACCGGCCCGCGGGCCAACAGCTTGACACCCTTGATCTGTAACAGGCTCTCAAAATGCAATCCAAAACGATTAGGGGGTCCCGCGTTTTCCAAGATGCTCTCAAACCGTCAAGTGTGCAACGTTGAATGTTTCTTACATAATCTTCGTAGGTCTCTGGTGCAGGAGGGGGGAGGGGTATTCTCTGAATGCCGGCTGCGCGAGCTCTTGAGGAAGGGGCCCCCCTCACTGCTGGGAGAGGGGGGACTCCGCGGCTCACAGCTGCTCCTCTTGCAATTGCGCCCCTCACTGGGGCACCCCGTACAAGGGCTCCACGGGGAGGCGGCGGAGGACCCACGCCGCGTCCTCTGTTCAGAAAAGGCAGAAAAAAAGAAATATATAGGAAGGTGTGTACAGGAAGGCTGACCTGCTGCATCTCAGGAAAGCAACCTGAAAATGATCGTTTCCACAAAGCAGAGAAAGAAATGCCCAAATAGGAAACCCAGTCTAAATAAGGTTAAGTCTCTATCAAAGTCAGTTCAAAAATAATTTAGTCCTAATGCTAAGAAGAGTTTGAAACCTCTATGTGAGGCCATAGGTATTTTATTATTTGATCAGAAAATGTGGAAAAGAAAGAGGGAGCAGCATTGCTTGCTGCTAAAACACCTGACTCAGATTCTGTTCCCTAAAGGGGCAGATAGGAATTTTACAGGAGAGTTTATTTTCCAAGATTCAAACTCTGAATCAATTGGGACTTTTTAAATGGCAAAGCCAGTATTTTCAAAATGTAAGGCGAATCTACCAAGGGACCCCCAAAGACAGGAGGCAGATTAAAAAAGTGTAAAGCAGTGGTTCTCAACCTTTCTAATGCCGTGACCCCATAATACAGTTCCCCATGTTGTGGTGACCCCCAAGTGGGTGTGGCCACCAATAAGAGGGAGTAGGACAGCTAGGGAAAAGGGAACAAAATGGTGGACAGCATGGTTTGGCGACCCCCATGAAATGATCGTTCGACCCCAAATGGGGTCCCGACCCACAGGTTGAGAACCACTGGTGTAAAGGGCAGTGAAGGTTAGGGTGACTAAAGCAATGTTTCTTAATCGTGGCATCTTCCACGTATGTGGACTTCAACTCTCAAGACGTATGACCCCAGAATTCTACAGCCAGTGTGTCACTTCACCTGGAAATGGCCACAGTTGAGAGACCCTGTGCTAAAGGAATATAGCTATTTAAAAATGTTTAAAAGCCAGCTTAAAGCTATTCCCAAAGCAATGAAAGAGATGCCCACTTCAATCCAATTTGAAAACTAGGTAGCCTGGCATTGGAGACATTCTAGACAAAAATCATCCTCGCTCAATGGACAATATATTAGTACAACTATGTGGGTGAGTATAATGAAAAATGATCCACAATAGAGAGACAAACTAAGGCCACATTTGGAATACTGCATCCAGTTTTGGTCACCACGATGTAAAAAAGAGGCTGAGACTCTAGAAAGAGTACAGAGAAGAGCAACAAAGATGATTAGGGGACCGGAGGCTAAAGCATACAAGGAATGGCTGCTGGAATTGGGTCTGTCTAGTTTAATGAAGAGAAGGATGAGGGGGGACATGATAGCAGAGTTCCAGTATCTCAGGGGCTCCCCCAAAGAAGAGGAAGTCAAGCTATTCTCCAAAGCGCCTAAAGGCAGGACAAGAAGCAACGAATGGAAACTCATCAAGGAGAGAAGCAACCTAGAACTAAGGAGAAATTTCCTGACAGTTAGAACAATTAACCAGTGGAACAACCTGCCTCCAGAAGTGGTGAATGCTCCAACACTGGAAGTTTTTAAGAAGAGACTGGACAGCCATTGGTCCGAAATGGTGTAGGGTTTCCTGCCTGAGCAGTGGCTTGGACTAGATGACCTCCAAGGTTCCTTCCAACTTTATTATTATTATTATGAATGACAAGCAGTCTGCTGGAAAAATCACACCACTCTCATGTATTTATATATGGAGTTACAGAGCAAGCTAAATATACTTTATAATTAAACAAATGTTCCAAATCTGCTGGCTAAACTTTTCTATTGTCTCTCACTTTTTTAACAGGACTGCATCATACCCCAGATGTAACTCTTCCAAATATACTAAAAAAAAAAAATACTCTTTATTTAATGGAATATGTTCATTTTCTCGAATTCTTAAGTGCTTAATCATTTCAAACTAATTATCCATTTATTTGTTCATTACCTAGGAACAGGTGGGGGTGGGGGAACTGCTCCCCTACCACGGACAGAGATCCCCCGGCCACGTGTTGGCTCCGGCACCCCATTGAGATAGGACAATTCCAAAAATTGCTCCTGGCAGATATCATCCATCATATCCTATACAGAAACAAAGAGAAATAATTTCTGTTCCATACGGAGTATTTTAATTTGAAAGACCATTTTTGTGCAGTCAACAGCAAATTCTGTCTGCAAAACAGGAGCACGTCATGTTTTTACAAAACATTCTTTGTCTCTTCAGAATTTCTATGTCTGGTATTCATTTGATGCTTTCACAACTTGTGTTACTTCAAACTTATTATTTCTGCTTACTGGAGACAAGGCAAAAGTTTTTAGACAAAGAACAAATGTCCACCAGTAAATCCAAGTTGCTTCTTTCACACCTCTGTCTCTGCTGTAAACTTTTAACTCTTTTTCATTTGGGGGCGCATAAATTGCTTCAAGCAATCTGCTGTAAACTGAGTCACTATGGTGAGATGGGAAGCCATATAAACCAAACACAATACATATACACAACAGGACAACCAGTGTCAAGCGATTCTTTATTCCAGTGTCCAGTGAGTTGAAAACAGAATTGATAATTTTAGTTTTCATAGTTTCCCTAATTTGCTAATATAATTTTTATTAAAAGTATGGAGACAATAAAAACTAAATTAGAATTCTTTTTTCCCCTCAATGGATGTTGGCCTTCTGTTGGGAGTACTGATGAGAACACTACTTGTGCTCCTAGCTCCTTAACTTTATTGTGTAGTTGCTTATAGTCTCTCAGAATTGTGCTCAGGTTCTTTGTTGTGTCATTCATCCCAAAGTGAAGGAGTAGGAGAGGGTAGTAATCTGTGGGCCTATTATTTTGGCTAGGTTCTCAGCCACGTCTTTTGATTTTTGCTCCAGGGAGATAATGTACCTCCCTGGATTGTATGTCCGGTCTGCAGATGGCTGAAGTAAAATTGCAAGTTGTGGTCAGGTGATGTTTTGCTTAAATGATTGTGGTGACTCAATGATCGAATAGGAAATAGTATCATAAGCCCACTGTGGTCATATGAACCTGTATGTCTTTATGCATAACATCTGGAAGGGGGTAACTGCTACATACCGGAACGAGGAACTTCTTGACTTCTTCCATGGCATGGGCCATGAGAGCATAAGCCTCACAAGGAGGGCCAAAGACCTCAATGAAAACATGCAGATCCATATTTAAGTGAGCATACTTTGGATCGCCTCCTTTGCGCAATTCTTCTTCCTAAAACAAACATCAATTATAATTAGGATTTTAAACTAGATTTCTTAATCACACACTCGTTCTTAATATTTGATTAAAGCTAAGATTTGTTCTCCTTTCCTAGTAGCTTTTCTGAATGTTTATCCATTAAGCACAAGCTAAAAACCTGTGCTACTCTTAAGGAATTAAGAATTTAGGATTGTTCTACCTCTTAAAATTAAAGACAGAATTTGTCACTGCAAAATATTGGGGCTACTTGAGGGTTTTTAAATTTGGAGACAACCACCTTGAAAGTATAACCCATTTGCTCAATTTCTGTGGAGACAAAAATTCAGGAACTATTTATCCAAACAAGGATTCTGTAATCTGCTACTCCATTTGTAGACCCAGCATTTTGCAATGTGCTAAGTCCAGCCAGAAAAATCTTTCAATAAGGTATGACTCCAAGAAAGCCATTGAGAAATGAACATCAGTTGAGAACTTGGTCACACTGCAATGTTTGGGGGCTGAAAACGGAACTCTCTCAAGAACAGTGGTTTTCAACCTTTTTAATGCCGTGACCCCCCCCAACCGGTCGTAAGTCGAGGACTACTCAACCGGTCATAAGTCGAGGACTACTCAACTGGTGCAGCACCGTTTGCAGAATGGGACTTTTGGCGGGCTCAGCAGGGCAGAGACAGCCTGGACAATTCCTATTGGCTTTTGAAAGCCAATAGAATTAGACTCTATTCAAGAGAGTCTATTCTATTGGCTTTCCAAAGCCAATAGAATAAAAGGGAGTAGCACAGCTAAGGAAAAGGGGGGGGGGAAAATGGCGGACTGTGTTGTTTGGCGACCCCCGTGAAATGGTCGTTCGACCCCAAATGGGGTCCCGACCCACAGGTGGAGAACCGCTGCTCAAGAAGATTCATTTAGTGTCAGGAAATATCTTTAGCCTTCAGCTACAGTGTCAATCTGCATGTAACAGAAGGCGAGAGATAGTAAATGCTGCAGTAGATGCTCAAAGTGAAAAATGTTGTCCAGGAAGTCTTACCTTTGCCTTGTCTCTCATCGATCCCTTCCCCAGGACAGAAATCTTTGCTCCAGTTTCCTCCTGCAATCGCTTGATGGTGTTGCCTTGGGGGCCCAGTATCTTCCCAACAAAATTGAACTGAAAGAAAAGATAACTTTCCTCCGTTGACATGACAGTGGGCACCACAACCTTATTATTTAAATATTAACTGTGCTGACCTTCGGAATTTCAACCAAAAAGGGAAACAAACGTTCTGAATTTTTGGACAGACAGCAAAGCGACAAGACAGCTCTGCAGGGTAACTTACATTATTACATTATAGGAGAAGTCTGCTTCACTTCTGAGCACATCATTTACTTATCAAATTAGTATCTGCTGCACTATTTATTTTCCCTAACAAACCTATATTAAGACATAAAAGAATAGAACCAAACTCAGCTTCAGGTCACAGTTAGGCAGGGGTTCTCAACCTGTGGGTCGGGACCCCATTTGGGGTCGAACGACCATTTCACGGGGGTCGCCAAACAAGGCTGTCCGCCATTTTTTTCCCCTTTTCTTTGGCCACACCCCTGGTACCCAGTGATGTATAAGTGGTTGGGGGTCACCACAACATGGGGAACTGTATTATGGGGTCGCGGCATTAAAAAGGTTGAGAACCACTGCACTTAGGAGATCAGCAACTGTAGCATTTGCTTGGGAGTTATATGTTGAAAAGCTACATGCCTGGTATCTTTCATGCTGTCCTCATTGTTTTTTCCTGGTTTCATATTTTTTCCCATCTCCATTATTTTGTTGTCCATTTGCTTCCCCCCCCCCCCAGTTTAAACCTATGCATATTTGGAAGTGCCGTTCTCCCTTCTTTTCATCCTTTCAGATGCTTGGCCTTATTGGATTCTGGCCACTGCAGGAATGGATATTGATGCCAACCACCTTCCCTGTTCCTCAGCCCACTTTCCCCCCCCCCCCCCACCTTTGAAATTTTATTTCTGAGGCTTCACTTTCCCTTTACATCTGTGGCAAACATAGATTGGCCATTCAACGTACCTGGGAAATATCTGGTTCGTGACAGTTTTATCCAGAAGTGGGCATAAAGGAAGGTAATCCTTTTGCATGTGTTACAGGTATCTTACCTTGGGATACTGCTTGACCGGTATAAGAACTCGTTCCTTCAGTTTCATGTTTTTATGAGAAAACAAGTCCAGATAGGTCTCTTCTTCATCCTTCTTTGATTCACCTTTTTGAATTTTATCAATTTCTAAAAAAAAACCAAGACAAACCAGATGTCAGTTGACTTCTATTATCTAAATGAAGTGTATGACTTACAAAAAGGCTTCTTGAGGCAAGGGCAACAAAAGTATTTTTAGGCATAGCTCAGGTTTGTATCTATTCCATATTCATAAAATGGCATTCCTAATATAATTTCTGAAGTCTATATTTACTTTATTTTTATCATCCACAAAAAAAATCTAATTCTAACAATCTCTTATTTCTTAACAGCAACCATTCCTTCATCCAGATCAAACAGCAGGCAACAAAGTACAATTTAAAAATCAGACAATCCCAGTCCTCCTTTAATCCTTGGTTTCATCCCCTGCCACTATATTTAAAGTAGATGTGTCCAACCCACAGCCCATGGGCCACACGTGGCCCTTGAAAGCTAGTAAGTAATACAGTCCCACAAGATAATAAAAAAATAAAGGAAATTTGTTATTTATATACATTAACTGCATTGTATATTTTATATGTTTCCCAAGACAATTCCTCTTCACTCAACGTGGCTCAGGTAAGCCAAAAGATTGGATAATCGTGGTTTAAAGGGTACTTCATTTCTCAAAACAGGTATTGTCTGGAATTAGGCAACACATTTTTATCACAGGAATTCCATCCAACAAAGAAACTGTAGCATTTCCCATTTTAGTTAAGTCCTTCTTAATTTCACTTGATACCTTAAATGCAGTTATTGTGAAGCAACACATAATTCATATTCAGGATGAAGGAAGTATATATATTGCCAACAGTGCCATCCAAGACATAAAGGTCACCTCAGCTGCCCAACCAAAACAAGGAGACACCTAGGCAGCAGTAACAAACCTTGGCTCTGACTTGTGGACTTCAATGCCCAGAATTCCTGAATCAGCCATGCTGACTCAGGAATTCTGGGAGTTGAAGTCCACAAGTCATAAAAGAGCCAAGGTTGCCTACCCCTGGTCTAGTGGTTAAGGCACCAGACTAGAAGCCAGGAGACCGTGAGTTCTAGTCCTGCCTCAAGAAGCAGGAAAGCCAGCTGGGTGACAACCCTACCTTGTGGGGCTGTTGTTGTGGGGAAAATAGGAGGAAGTTTTTAGATAGGTTCACTACATTGAATTGCTTATTATAAAATAAAGGCAGGATATGAATGAATGTATGAATGAATGAATTGCATTAGTGTTGATGCCTATTGGACGATGGATATTTTATTTAACAAATATTCACTATGAATATTCACAAGACATGATGTACTTATAACTAAAAAAAAATCAAAACTGGGTTGTCAGTGGTTTGAATCAATAGTTTATAACTTGTATTCGCTAATTTAAGAGACGAAAAGCACATTACGTATTGGTTGAAGAAAACACCCAAATAATGAAAATGTTGCATTGACATGTTTTGCCAAGTGCAAAAAATCCAATCCAATCTTTGGTTTATTGCTAAAAATTCTTATGCTTAAAATCAAGACTTTTTTTCTAAAAGGTACAATATTCTGTTCGTTTGAAAGAATAAAACATTCATGATTACATTTCAGGTCCTATTCATCCACTCTAACATTTGTTAATAAGAACAGAAGCCTATTTCCTGTGATAAATTAGCAAATCCATGATCCATATATATGGCTGTCATGTAAAGCAGAGGTCCCCAACCCCTGGTCCGTGGACCGGCACCGGGTGGTCTGTGCAAATAGGCAAATCCCAATCTGCGGGGTGCAGGCAGTACATGAAACCACGCCTCCTCCGGTCCACAGAAAAACCTCTCTCCAAGGAACCAGTCCCTGGTGCTCAAAAGGTTGGGGACCTCTGATGTAAAGCATTCGTATAGCCAGTAGAAAAGACGAGAAACTTCTAGACACCAGTGCTAGTGAAAGAAATAAAACGATTTGCTAGATTGAGCAACTTCTAACAGCTAGCTGTGAATATAATGGGATTATGTGCGTACAAAAAAGCGTATTCACCTAGCGTTTTGGTGTAGAACAAAGTGGCTTTGTGTGCGCATAAACATGGAGACAGTGAGAAGCAGCTTCCGAAGGAGCCGCTGAGTGTTACAAACAATGAAAAAGCTTAAATGATTAGCACTCCAAAGCACCCTTTTTGAATGCTTTGCACAGATCTAGTAGATATATTTCGTAAGATTTTTAATTTGGATTTTGTTTTGCAATAATACTTTCATTTTTTTTCTTATGTTACTGTGGTTTGAAAGCCTGCTAAAATGGCTTATAAAATTCAAACGATTAAAAAATAAATTATATAGTAAACCTGACCCTTTGACATGAGACTGCTTATGAAAGTATTTGTATTGATTTTTGCTGTTATTTGGTATCATGACACAGAATGTTAAGCTCTTTAGAGAACTGGAAGTCCAGAGTTTGTGAGGGAAGCTGTCAATTTATCTATCATTATAATTATACTCAGGGAAAACAAAATTGGAGATAAGCCTGGATCTATATTTATTGATTTATATATTGAATTACTGTATATTCTTTTCCAACACCTACCCATCACTCAAAGTGGCTTAAACCACATCACAATAAAGCAAGAATCCTTAGGAAAAAAGCATATGAGATGAAAAATGTTGAGCAGATAAAAAGCAGATGCAAGCAAAATTTATACAGCTAGGCAGAGAGATCTGCCAGAATAGTTTTCACCAGTTAGGCCCCAGAGAACCTCATAATCTCTGCATGTGGTAATAAAAACATCCTTTCTCAAGCCCATTTATCCATGCTCCAGGAAGATTATGCAAAAAGGCTATTCAACCAGCAGATTTTGAGCAGCGGTCCCATTGATATACAAGCACTTGGAAGACACAAACTGACCCAGAATTATTCTAGAGATAAGGAACCTGAAAAAAGGACTTATGAACTGGGAGACTGGAATCCAAAAGAAATAAGAGGGCAAAATAGAGGGGAAGGGCCAAGGAAGATCACATTGTATAAATAAGACATCAAGAGGTTTGGTTGGATCAAAACGTCCTCGCTTGTATATTAAATTCTAATGCATATTTGAATATGTGATATTCCCACAAATGTATTAAAATTTATAAGAATTCAATTTTAATTTGCATAGCTATATAATATTCAATTTGTACTACAGCATGTTGAGTTTTAAGCTCATATTTTTCAATCTTGGCTCTTTTGCATAGCTTCTTTTCTGGATTTACTGGGATTCAAGAGTGGGAGGAGGAGGAATTCCTTTCAGTGCTAAATGCTTTAGAGCAGGGCTTTTCAACCAACGGTACGGATACCACCTGTGGTACATTGGCACCTGGCAAGTGGTACGCGGCCATCCTAGAAAAGTGGTAGCGGGGGAGGGGAATCAGCTGAACCGGTGGCAGCACTGCACAAGCCTGAGCGAGAGACGGCTGGAACTGCAGGGCTGTCAGGGCTCAGCGGAAGCGCCAGGATCAGCACTTCTTCGGGACTGTCAGGGCTCAGTTGAAGCGCCAGGATCAGCACCAGGCTCCAGCTGAAGCTCGGCGCTGATCCTGGCGCTTCTGCTGAGCCCAGAAGAAGCGCCCATCAGCTGGAAAGCAGCCCTGATCCTGGCGCTTCTGCTGAGCCCAGAAGAAGCGCCCATCAGCTGGAATGTTGCAGCATCTCCAGGGTCTTGTGATTTACATTCAGATGCTTGGCAACTGATTCATATTTATGATGGTCACAGTGTCCCAGGGTCATGTGAAGTGACCAAAACCTGCTGCAACCACCCAGCAGATGGGGAATAAAAACCTAACATCCCCCACCGCTTCCAATCCTCAACAGAAATGCTCACAACAATGAAAACCTTGGACAGGAGGAAGAGCACCGCCGGTGGGCAGGCAGGCGTCTTGCTCGGCTGTGGCTTGGGGGGGGTACTTTTTTCAGTGCCATTGTAAGTTCGAACAGTCACTAAGCGAACTGTTGTAAGTCGAGGACTACCTGTACTTTATCACTTTTTTTCCTTTTTTTTTTAGTCAAGTTTTTGACACCTTGCTAGGCGACTGGTAGTACTTGGATATCCTAAAAGTGGTAGAATGGGTGAAAAGGTTGAAAAGCCCTGCTTTAGATGAACTGTATTAGCCTGAGCAAATAAAACAATGAATTTTTTGCTTTTAATCACTCTAAGAATAAAAATGTTGTGGTTCATATTTTTGCATGCCGATGCCTAAAGGAAAAGCCAACTTTTACAAGTCAACAAGAAAGTTCAAGGTCAAAGACGGGGGGGGGGTTCCTCTGAGGAATAAATGACTTTACCCTTACAAGTATTGCTTGCCCTAAGCAACAAAGAAGTTGGTGTTTTTACATAAAGGCGGCTTTCTGGTTTCAGAAAAATAAGCACTTATTTCCAATTATTCAGAAATAACCAAGGCTACCATTTTTTTCTCTAAATTTCACAACGCAACTCAGCTAGAAAAGGGAAAACCTTCTGTGTTTAACCATCAGCAATTCTTTAATATAGCCTTTGTTGATGTAACAGGGCTATTTTTAACCCTAAATGCTAAGGAGGGGGAGCCTTCTTCAAACAGTGGTAAATGCTGCCTGTAACAGAAAAACTGTCTCTTCATTGTCCCTGTTTCCCCATGAAAAAAAAAAAAATCTCATAGCAGCTAATCTTCTAAAAACCCTCCAACAGTATCAGCAGAAACTGCTTTAAAAATTAGTTGCTGTACACAAATTAGTTTTGGAAACTGTTTATCAGAGAACAATATCTGTGCAGTTCTATGTGTGAATGAAGAAACAAAAGCATCCATTTCCTGACAAATATCTTTACCAATTCAGCCCAGTGGCTGGGTAAGCTGCCCTCTCTTGATGTGGAACCTAAGTGCTACATATACGAGCAGAAAGCATTCAAAAAGAGGACAAAGTCCAAAATCAGGGTCACAAGGAAATAAAGAGTTGAAAAGCTTCTTTGATGTGGCCGAATAAACAGGATAAAATGAGGTAAAAACTATACGTGGTCCTTAGAATTTGCAAGGCGTTCTATTTAACTGGCAGATGATGGTGTCAAGGGCAACAAGCCTTAAATTTAACTGGCAGATGATGGTGTCAAGGGCAACAAGCCTTAAAGTGGAGATGAAACTCTGAGAAGGGAATTATTCTGACACTGTTCTATTCTGCATTCTAGCAATCCATAGATAACAGGGAACAACAAGCAACTGGTAGAGAAGGGATGGTGATTGTCAAGAAGTCAATGGTAGAAATCCAGAATACAGGATAAATTCTTCTAAAGCTTGTGTTTCAGCAGATGGAATTTAGTACTGGGAGGTAAATGATTTCTTCCACAGACCCTGTATTAAAAGGATATATAAATGCTTCTCATGGGGTAAGAATATAATACAAAACTGAAAATGAATAAATAGCGGTGCCTTCCAGCAAAATTAAACCACAGCTCTGCCAATTGGTTTGGAAAAGGAAATTAATTTTCTTGATACAAGAGTTTGCTTGGTCCTCAGACCAAGAACACGTCCACCTTGCTGAGAGAAGAAAAACAAAGCAAGTAGCAAATCCTGGCTCTTTGTTCTATATTCTGACTACAGTACTTATTTCCAGCCAGTTAGATTCACTTGATGTAAGAAGATCCTGAAAGCACAGCAGCTGCACTGTTGCGATTAGATCCTATTAAAATGGAGAAGGGGGTGCTAGTGAGACAAAGACTGCCATTTCCACTCTGGTTGGTTCCAGAAGCACGAACAAGGATTCATGCAGATATGCATAGCAATGGCATAGCGACAGATTACAAAGCTGTCTGTCTCTGCAGAAGAGGATACACCGAGAGATCTCCTTTGAAATCTTCTCTAAAACATAAAGGGATTCTTAGTTTTGTCTCTTTAATTAATGTTTGACAAACAATTAGCATCAGCTTTTCTACACAATCATTAGGATAACTGTTATAATTCCTCAGAACAGATAAAAACATTGTTATTACAGAGTGTGCTGGGGAAAAGAAACAGGCAAAAACATATTTTCTAAAAAGAAACGGTGCCATGGCACTGCTCCAAAAGAAATTACATGCTGGAAAAGCACAAAGGAAATGCAGGAAGAGAAAAACCCTATAGCCTAGATCATATTTCCAACTCAAAGAGTGGCATTCAGCATGGAAATATTGTAATAGATCAAACAAAGATCTTAATATTCTTCGAAAGGAGTCATCCCCTTCTTCTAAGAGAAGAAAGGCAGTTAAAAAATAGCCTATTCACAATGTAGTCGAAGGAACAAAAGACATTCTTCATCTACACAATCCATTTACAAAACCACCTAAGTAAATCTGCTGTACAATCCTAGTTTGGTGGGAGGGTTTTAGCAAAGCAGTCTGGAAGAGATTAAAGCCAGAGTCTCTGATAGAAGAAGTAATGTAAAGATTTTCTGGAAAAATATTTTATCTTTCACTTCAATGTTTGCAAAAAACATCCATTAAAATCTGTGATTACTATAGACACAGAAGTGCTGAATTTGTCATTATGCGCTATATGGTACTTTTTGATACAAGGCCTTTGTTAAATCTGTTTGTGATCTAATCCACAAAAGCTTAAATTCTAACACACAGAGATTTGTTCAACTATACTTTCTTACATTTGAAGGCTGGAAGGCCTGAAAATTTGACAAGCAAATGTGCATCTTAAATTGGGTTAGGCAAACACGAGAAATAACAACACTTCAAGCTTGTGTGTTTCTCAATGAATGCAATGCTGTAAATAATCAAGCAAACAGACTTTAATCAGAACTTTATCGATTGAAATCCTCATTTTCCTAAGAACCTCAGGTACCAGCCCTCAAGCAGAGAAAAGAACAAGCAACCCAGAATTAACTCAGTCGTTGCTCATCGCTGTTCCTGACTACAAAAAAATAAAAAAAATCTTTGATGTTAAAACCACATTTGCAGGTTTCTAATACTTGCATGTGCACGTGTGAAAAAGAACTACTTTTCATTGCATATATTTGCATCCGGGGAAAAGAACTACTTTTCATACATATAGGAAAAATAAGTACTGTATGTAAAGAAAATATCGCTCGGCACCTCCTGGCTATAACCACACCATCCTCTGTACTGCTGGGTTAAAGGGAGCAATCTGGGATATCGTCAGAAGTACAAAACTCGTTGCAGGCCTTCTCTGTCATCCCTCCAAGCCAGCCCAGGGCTCAATCTTTCTGGGAGGGAAAGGGCCAGCCGGAGGATTCCGCTTTCTTAACCGAGATCTGCCCTGCTAGACCCCTTTTGCACATAACCGGACCAGAAGGGAGGTCCGGCCCTCCCTACACCCCCTCCCCATCAGGCAGGGCTTCTTCCTCGCCTGCAATCCGCCCTTGCAACCGTGGGGCTAGGAGGAGGAGCAGCAGCAGCAGCCGGGGCCGGCCCTGCAGCGCGCTTCTCCCTCGCGGGGCCCCGGGGCCAGTCTGGGGAGGCTCCCGCCGCCTTGAACACCCCCCCGGGGCCTGCCCGCCCGCCCGCCCGCCGCGCCTCCCGGCCCGAGGCAGAGCGGCATGGCGCCCTTCCCGCCGCCGCCGTACCTGCTTGCAGCAGCTGCATGGCGTGGGTGAAGGAGGGGTCCAGGCTGTCCTTCTCGGCCATCAGCTCGGGCAGGTACTTGTTCTCGGGCTCGCTCTTGGCCGCCGAGACGGCGCCCGGCATCAGCGGGGTGGGCGCCACGCTGGGCGCCGGCGGGGCCGAGCTGGTGGCCGAGGGCGGCAGGAGCGGCGGCGGCTGCGGCCCGCGCGCTCCTCCCCCGCCGCCGCCGCCGCCGCGAGCCGGCCGCCGCGGGGAAGCCGCCGCGTGAGGCGACTGGAGCCGGGCCGCCACGGCGGGGCCCGGCGCCCGGCCCAGGCGGGCGGCGGCGGCGAGATCCTCGCGGCGCTGCATCCGCGGCCGAAGGAGCGGCAAAGGCGCGCGAGGGAACAGGGTTGCCACGCCGACGGGACGCCGGGGCCACCGGGGCGGGAAGCGGAAAGAGGGGGAGGACGCGACGTCCGTGCTGGCGCTTCCGGCCTTTCTTTCCGCCGCGCGCCAACTACGGCCGCCGCCAACCGCTCCTCGAGTCAATAGCCGACCGCGCCTGCGCAAGCACTCGCCGAGACGCGCTCTGCGCAGGCGCACCGGAGGGCCGCTTCGCCGAAAAGCCAGATAGCCCCCCCTTCCAGACCTGGCGCGCAAGCGCTGTCTGAGCTGGAGGGCGACGCCCCTTTTTCCCCGCGCACATGCGCGCCGGGGCCAAGCGAGATCTCTTTGTCGGGGTGGAGCACGTGGTGCCTTCTGGCAGCCTTTCCGGGTTGCTGCGGGAAGCGGCATCGTGCTGCGAGTCCTTGTTTTCCTTCCGAGGAAAAAAACCACAAATAACGCTTTGTCCTTGAGCAGGAATGAATGGGATTTTTTTTTCCAGACCCGAGCGTCGTGTTGGAGAGATTGGACACGTTTGATAAAGCTGAATTTATTTCAAGTCTGCTTCCTTGGCTAGCCGTCTATCGCAGTGTTTCTCAACCTTGATAATTTTAAGGCATGTGGACTTCAATTCCCAGAATTCCACAGCCAGCATTGCTGGCTGTGGAATTCTGGGAGTTGAAGTCCACATGCCTTAAAATTGTCAAGGTTGAGAAACACTGGTCTATCGTGACGTCCTTTATTCCAGCTCTGCTCTTAGCGACTTCATAAGATATTTTTGTGCAGGGTTTTTTTTTTTGGTAGCAGCCCATAATGGTTTCTCGATACTTGTTTGCTTTGTTTCCCCATGTATCCGAATATTTCTCAACCTTTACGGTATGCGGACTTCAGCTCCCAGAATTCCCAGCCAAACTGATCTAGCCGGCTGGCCTCTGGTCTCCCTAACTAAGTTCAACTTATTTGAGATCTGCTAAGGTTGGCAAGATGTTCGTTATAGCTAGATATAAAGTCTCTTTCAAAATAGGACTTGGGCAATAACATTTTATTTATTTATTTATTACCTGTATATGTTTAGGCTATCCCAACCTGTTATAACTAGGCAGCTTATAAAACACAATAGTAAATACAGAGAATAGATGCATCATACAAGAGACCATAAAGATAATCTGGAGAAAATCAGTAAATTTTTAAAAAAAAACAGGAGTCCATCAGCTACAGGATGAGGCCTCCAGTACAAATAGGAGGGGGGAAGGAGAAACAACAGTTTTCGTAGCCTCTTCAAATCAGAAATATGTGCATTGATTACAACAAAATGAAATACAAAACAATATGAAAAACAAGGGAAAGAATATAATACAATGGTCTAAGAATTTTGGATCCAATCCGATAAAGAATATGTTTTTCCCTAATATCCTCCTCCTGGAATCTAGATCTACAGCATAGAGTGACTTCCCTTTCTGATGTATACACCCAATTTAAGGATCCTTACAATAAGCGGATATTACACGTACAAATGACTTACAACCATATATTTAGCAAACATTCAAAGTTAAAATGGCACTGAAAAAGTGACTTACAACTGTTGCTCACACTTAAAACCGTTGCAGCATCCTCATGATCACATTATCAGATGCTTGGAAACTAGCCTGTCCCAGGGTCATGTGGTCCATTTGCAACAGCTGGCTTCTAACAAGGAAAGATGGAAGCCAGGATCAATGAATGACCATAGGATTCACTTAACAACAGACCTGCTTAGCAACAGAAATTTTACTTCCAATTGGTCGTTGAGGTCTATCTCTAAAACAGTAACAGAAACAAGAAGAAATACAAAAGGGATGGGTGCACGATTTTGTACCTTTTAAAAAATTCCATTCATTTTGTTTGTTTTGCACTTTAATTTTACGGGTGCTATTTTTTGACCATGAAATGAATCTGATAGCTGCCCGGGGTTTCGGGAAATCGGCAGCATGTCAATAATTTCAATAAATACCCTCATTTAGGGGATATCATCATTCCTGCTTCATTCAGTGGTTGTCTTCCCACAAGGATGGGCTGACTGCTATCAGAGATGAAGAACAAGGTAGCAATTCCACACTGGGGTCACCCTCGGTGGGCAAATTCTTCAGTATTGCTGACATGCAGGTATCAAAGGGGCAGGCCTTGCATTGCTGTGTCTACCCTTTTGCCTTTTTTGACCCTGTCCCCAACACCACCAAGCTGCGTAGTGCAATCTTTGGATCAATCCCATCCCCCTAATGTCTAAGCCAGGGCTCTCCAAACTTGGCAACTTTAAGACTTGTGGACTTCAACTCCCAGAATTCCCCAGCCAGCATGGGGAAGTTGAAGTCCACAAGTAGAAGTCAAGTCTTAAAGTTGCCACGTTTGGAGACCCCTGGCTTAAGCCATGGTCCCAACTGCCCTACCATTGCAACCTTCAGTATTCTTTGATGGGCATAGAAGCCTGATGCTTTGTTGCCCAATACTCTTGTAAAATCTTTTCATTAGAGCAGGAAAGCAATTTTCTGCTGCTCTCTGCTGGCGGAAACTGAAATGATGTTGGTGAGCAGAGACATCCCTTCTACTGTATTTTCCCCAAAATAAGGCTGTGTCTTACATTAATTTGTGCTCCAAAAGACACATTGGGGCTTATTTTCCAGTTAGGTCTTGTTTGGGGGGAAATATGATACTAAATGCGTCAGTCTAGTTCAGAGGTAGGCAACCTTGGCTCTTTTATGACTTGTGGACTTCAACTCCCAGAATTCCTGAGCCAGCATGGCTCAGTTTGGAAACCTTTCCCTTTCCCCTCAGCATGGCTGGCTCAGGAATTCTGGGAGTTGAAGTCCACGAGTCATAAAAGAGCCAAGGTTGCGTACCATGGGTCTAGTTGACAGTCTTAACTGGGGCTTATTTTGGGGGTAGGGCTTATATTACAAGCGTCCTGAAAAAACACAAGGGCTTATTTTCCAGTTAGGTCTTACGGGGAAACAGGGTATCACTCTGATGATGACATTCATCTGGCTCATCAGTTCAATGGTTACACACCATTATCCAATTTCTCCGACCACCCCTAAATTTGATCCCACACTCAACTCAGTTGCAGCCAAGCCATGAATAAAGTGGTATTCAATAACTATCTTTCCAGGTGCAATTAGGTCTTGACTTATGACCCACAATTGGAACCAAAATTTCTTTGCTAATCAAAGTGGTTGTTAAATGAGTCATGCCCAGTTTTGCTTTTTCCTCCCCCCCACCGGTTGTTAGGTGAACCACCCAGTCATTAAGTAAATCTCTCTTCCCTCTTTGCTTGGTGGATTGGGAATTCTGAGAGATGAAGTCCACACATCTTAAAGTTGCCAAATTTGGAAAACATTTAGATAGATAGATAGATAGATAGATAGATAGATAGATAGATAGATAGATAAAAAAGAGAGAGAGAGAGACAGAGAGAGATGGCAAGAGCAAAAGCACATACATGTGGATAGTTATGGTAAGAACCTGGATACTAAACATTGATAATTATTTTCCAGGTTGATAAGGGGAATTTCCCAAACTACAAAAAGATGGAGTTGGGCCAGTCCTCCTTTTTGCAAGCTTGATGTATTTGCAAGAGCACACACAAAAGAAAAAAGAAAAAAAAGATTTGCTGCCAAAATAGAAAGAAGCTTCATTTAAAAATCAATCAATCTCTGGTATTCTTGAGCTGTAGCTTAATCCATTCTGTCTAATAAGCCTCATTAATCAGAACCTTGAGGCTGATTTTGGAGATTGATGGCTTTTGGCCAGACTTCGTAAGAGAAAAATTTGACAAAACCCAACTGGCAGGCAATCACCCCACTATATTTATCTACTTATTGATTTCGTGTACATAACTTCAAACCTATAACCTTGTTGGCCATTTATATTAATGAAAGACACTGAAACAGAAGCTATTAAAAAGGACAGCGCAATTACAGAGTAGCAGAAGTAAAAATGTTAGTCGTAACACTGCAATTTCTCTAACATTCTAACTGGGCTAGGAGATTTTGTGAGCCCACACAGAGTAGTTGAGCTGCCTCTGATGCAAGATCTTTTATTACATAGCATCATGTTTTATTTTTATAAATTCGATAGGCGATCTTTATTTTCGAACTAATGGGCGGTGTGGAAATTTAATAAATAAATAAAGACGGGTGGAATCCGTCTATAAAAAGCAGCCTTGTAGGTACCAGGCGCCAAGCCACGCTGTTCTTTAAATGTCCGTAGCTATGGGTGAGCCTTGCAGACCGGCGGGTGAAGGGGATGCTTCTGTGCGAGTGGCTGGCAAGCCTGTACACACACACACAGCTCCATTTGCACGCGCAGCACGCACGCTCATGCAAATGGAGCATGCCGTACATGCACTCACCTACTGCTCGTGCAAGTGGCGGGTGTATGCGTTCGCTCGCTGTTTCCATGGCCCAGTTGCAAACACCTCATGGCCCACTAGTGGCTGCAGCCCAGAGGTTGGGGAACCCCTGTTCTGGAGGACCCCCACCCAGCTTGGTTCTTTGATTTTAGAAGCAACTGGCTGATGACTTTTCAAGCAGATGTTGCAGTGGACTTAAGTCTCGTTCATCAGAGAGGTCTTATTATGTTTACTATTTCACTGTTTTCCTCTGTGCATTTTGCATAGGAGCTCAGAGTGCATGTTGCGTGATTTCATTTGATTTCCGCACGGCCCACCCTCTAAGTGACTTTGTATACAACGGTACGTGGTTCTCACCCAAAGTTTAGCTGTTATGATCCCTAAGGTTACAAATAGCTAAATATATGTTCTGGCTCAGTTTGTGGAAAACATTGTCAAATAAAACTTTCTAGCATCAAGGAGGACTGCGTCTGCTGAAGCAGCAGCATAGTTCCTGCCAACAAGAAGTTGATCACAATAACTTTCATCATTCTTTGAGTGTCGCTAAACATGTGGGTGGGGGAGATTTGGTAAATTATGCTGCGGCTTGAATTTCAAAAGGCTTTTGGAAATTCCCTTCTTCAGAATTTCATCAGAATAATTACCACAGACAACTTTCCCAACATGCAGAAAAAGACATATTTGTGGCTTAGTTATTGTTCTTACTTGCTTTTATCTTCTTCTTCTTCTTCTTCTTCTTCTTCTTCTTCTTCTTCTTCTTCTTCTTCTTCTTCTTCTTCTTCTTCTTCTTCTTCTTCTTCTCCTTC